TGTTCCTAGCGATGAATCCCGCCCGTGTCCGTCGTTTGGAGCGCTGGCTGTCGGTGCTGGCAATGTGCTGCCTCTGCCTTTTTTTTCTTTTTCTCTTTTTTTTTTCCTGTTCTTCTTCCTCCACACACACACACACACACTGGGCTCAGTTGAACGACCCTTTGCATTGCGATACTGTATCTCTAACTGCAAACATTCCCCTTTCCCCCCCCCCCTCCAAACTCGCGTGTGTTTCATTCCGACCAGACGTCTCGGCGTCCCGCTGTCTGCTGCGCAAGTCGGCAAATTCGCCAACCAAGGTACGTTGCGTTCGCCATGCCGCCTTGTCGCTTGCGCAACCCGCCCACTCACATCGACGTCAACTCTGTGTTCAATAACAGAAACCACCGTCGAAATCAAGGTGTCCGTCCGCGAGGAAGATGTCTTTATCATTCAAAGTGGCTATGGGTAAGTCATTCAAGGTTTGGCCACCAAACCTACACTCTTTTTGCACTTCTTGCTTCTCATTTCCTTGGAACCAATCCACGTCCTCCTCCAGAGAGGTCAATGACATGATCATGGAGCTGCTGATCATGATCAACGCCTGCAAGACTGCATCTGCCAAGCGCGTTGTGGCCGTCATCCCATACTTCCCTTACTCCAAGCAGGTAAAGTTTCACGAAAGGGGAAATCCAAACAAAATCTGCTCTGAAGCGTTGCATCTCACATCGCTTGATCACACACGCACGCACAGAGCAAAAAGAAGGCTGCTCGCAGCGCCATTCCCGCCAAGCTGCTGGCGATGATGCTCAAGGTGGCCGGTGTCACCCAAGTTGTCACACTGGATTTGCACGCTACCCACATCCAGGGCTTCTTTGACTTCCCGATCGACAACCTTTCCTCCAAGCCTTTCATCGTCAAGTACATTCGCGACCGCATTCCTGACTCGCAAACCGCCGTCATTGTTTCCAAGAACGCCGGCGGCGCAAAGCGGTGAGCCCTTTTGTTTTTCCAATTGATGCTGCTGTTTGCATGCGACGTTGCAGTCGTCCAATACGTGCCCTGTTGACAGTTTGCTGATCTTTGTCAATCGGGCATGTTTGTCCTTTGTTTTTGTTTTGCTTGTTTGTTCTGTTGCTCAGCGTCACTTCGATTGCCGACGAGCTGCGTCTCGATTTCGCCATTGTCCACCAAGATGCTGGACACTCACACATTTCGCAGCCTGCTGACGGAGAGCACGGCGAGCTTGTTCTAGTTGGCGATGTGAAGGGCCGCGTTGCCATTATTGTGGTAAGATTTGTTGCTGTTGTTGTTGCTGTTGTTGTTGTTGTAGCCCTTGGTCGTTATGTGTTGATTAAGGGGGGAGGAGGGCGGTGTGCCTTTGTCGTTTGTCGCTTGTTGTAGTGCCGTGGTTGACGTTTATGAACGTTCTATTGCACTCGCGCCTTATAGGACGACCTCCTTGATTCCGCCAAATCGTTCGCATCAGCTGCAACGCTTCTCAAGAAGCGCGGCGCTACCAAGGTCTATGGCCTGGCAACGCACGGCTTGATGTCTGGCGATGCGCTGGACATTCTGAACAACTCTGACGTTGACGAGCTGGCAGTCACCAACTCAGTCCCGGTGGCTGACAAGGTGGCTCTCTGCCCCAAGCTCAAGGTGATTGACGTTACTCCGCTGATTGCCGAGGCCATCCGTCGCATCCACAATGGCGAGTCGGTGTCGTGCTTGCAACAGCAAGTGCCTCTTTAAAAGCGGGAGAACTGCCTTTTTCCCCTCGCCCCTCCCTTGGCATTTCTGTGTCAATCAGTGTATCCTCTTGTGCAGCTGTCTCTTGATGTTGTAGTTGTGTTTGTATGATATCCGTGTATCTGGAAATATCAGTCAAACATCCAAAAATTCCCTTTCCATTCGTTATTGCCCCCAGACCCAAAAAGAAAATGCTATGCTGTTGTTGCTATAACTTAAAATCTTTACACTTTGTAGCATGATCAACACACACAAGCATCATCATTGTGATGACTCTGCGAGAGCGGCGAGACGACTTGCCAGATCGCCTGCAAACGCACCCCGAAACTTTGGACTGATGCAACTCAACAGCGCTTGGATGGACTCGAACGTCGAGCCAACAGCTTTATCGGCTGGTCCAGACATGGATATTATCTGGCAGGGTCCAAGTTTTCGAAGTGGAAGGAGTGAGATCCGAGACGATGGTCGCGCTCATTCGGCTCAGATGCAGTAGCAGCCAATTCTCACCTTCAGCCCATCGACGGTGAGCTCAATCCGACAGTCGCGCTGCTCCAGAGTCGTCAGCACAAGCGTAACAAGATCGTCTGTGGCGGGAGACGAGACGGCAATGCTCGTAACGTGGTTTGCTGCGTCCTTGACAATGTCATTCGCTTCCACGATCAGTTGAATGTCGCGATCTGCTTCATCGTTGGAATCAGAGTCGGACATGGATGTCGACTGTATCAAAACAAGGACTGGCAACCGAAGAAGGCATTACTTTGCATGTTATGAATTTTCGATGGTGAATGCGATTTGAGAAAATGGAACAGCAAGAAAGTAATAATTCGACATTGAATAAAAGTAGGACACACACACACACGCATTACTTTTGTTTCTTGTTAGCAACTGGACGGGGTGTCGACGTGATGCTAAAGCAGTAAATGTTGATGTGCTGGCAGATGGTTTGGACCTGAAAACAAAACCTCCCAAATGAGCAACATGAAAGCAAGAAGACAAATCAGGAGAAACAAACACATCGGCACTCGGTGACTCACCAAGTTGACTCCATAAGAAACGTGCAAGAGTGCTGCAAAGAGAGTGTAGCCATAGAGCACCCAAGTGTCGACGGCGGGCGAAACAACAAAGCCCCAGTAGATGGCACCGGCAATGAAAGGCAGAGGAGCCAAGATCAAGTTGTTGCTTCGGTGGATTTGGCTTGTCATTTGGGAGACAATCAGTTGGCACTGCAAGTTGCGTTACACAGAAGCACGGAAACACGGAAATACGACAGGGTTAGTTTGAGATACTTTTTGCCAAATCAGCTCAACGACCGTTGCCTTGAAGTCATCGAAAAGGGGCGCACATCCCAACAACCAACCAACAACACAATCAATGAAAACCCTTACAGTCAAGTTCGAGAAGGCGAGACCAAGTGCAGTCAGCAGAACTCGACCGTTGGAGACCAAGAGGTTGGCGGGCGACGCGTAGGCCCAGAAGGTGAAAAAGGCAAACATGGCAATGAGCGGTACGAGAGGCATAAAGCCGTCAACAAAGCCGTGCAGACGCTTGGGAGCCGAGACAATATTAATGACCGACTGGATGGGCTGCATGAGGATGGAGACGTACGAAGTGACAATGAAAATGTGCAGAATGCTGACTTGGGTCCACGACTCGTGGAGCGCGCTCAGATCGAGCAGCGGCGCGGTGAAGAACTGGGTACCAAACAGTCCAGCAAGCAGGTAGACGCTCGTGACGAGCAGTTGGCTCGCGTCGTAAGTCCAAGGGAGGAACAGAACGCCAGTGTTGTACTTTTCCCAGTGGGTCAGATAGAAGGAGAGGACAACGCCGCATGTGATGGTGTACAAAACCCACGGGTAGCCAGCAACGCCGACAGCAGAAGCAGCAGTGATCATCTGGAGCCAAGCGGCCATGCTGTCCAGACCGTGATCCTGTGGAGCACGAGTCAAATTTTGATTTTGAAAAAAAAAAAGCAAGAAAAGAACAGCGGGTCAGCGCTCTCATAAGAAATGTCTCAAACAGCTCTCGATAGCACTCGTGCATGAGTGTCTTTGAGGCTTACCATGAGCTCGCCAAGCGGGGTGGATTTGCCAGTTTTGCGCGCTTGCTTGCCGTCGCAGCCGTCAAGCGTGTGCGACATGAAGTGCGCAAACGACATGAGGAACCAAACGTACTGCGGGACCGAGTTCAGGTTGAGGGTGGCCATGGTCAGGTCGGGGTCGTAGTACCATGAGACCAGGTAGTTGCCAAGCAAGCACAGAAAGCCGGCAAAGGTGAGCACGTTCGGCGCCAGCCAGATCGGAATAAAGTACTTGACGCAAAAGTTCCAGAACGGGTGCATCACTTGGTTGGACAGCGGTGACTATTCGGCAGCAAAGCAGATGGAGAGGGGATGGATGATCAAGGGTGAGATTCAGAGATTGTCCTGAGGCTGCGCTGCTACAGTCACAGTGGCATAGGATGTCAACCCATCAAGTGCTCAAATTGCACAGCTCCTCAATCACGAAACGCAAAGTCCGAACAAGCGCAGCGACATTGGGATTTGGCGGGAAAACAAGAATAAAATGATAATAAAAAACAAAAATAATGCGAATCGACGAGATACGAGCACGATTCATTAGGTGAAGAGGTGAGGGGGGGGGGGGCGGAGTCGATGTCGATGTCGATGTCGATGTCGAATGGTGGTGCGTACTTGTCATCCAACGCCCCAATGGCACATCACACTCGACCCAGCTCCTTGATCTTACGACTAGAAGAAAGGAAAAAAAAAAAAAAAAAAACAGCCAACGGAAGACAACGCATGTCGCTGTGAAAAGTGCGACGATCGCCATCCCCGCGTTCGGTCGCAAAACTCAACCCTCATCATCAAATGACTGCGTGGCTCGGTTTAGAAGAGAGCGGGGGGTGGGTGCTCAACAGCGGAGGCGGGAGGAAGAGATCCGACGAAAAAAGGGGCCAGCCATCATCACGAGCGACGCAAATGGGATCAACGAGAAGCACTGCATGCACTCGGTACAAACGCACGCTGTCGACGCTCGAGTACTTGTACTTGGCAAGGCCCTCGAGACCGGCGGGGGTGATGGCCTGCATTGCTTGAAGGAGAAAGACGAAGGAAGAAAAAAAAAAAAAGGGACTGGCTGGACAGCACCGAAAATACTCAGACAAAGCATGCTGTATCAGGAGCTGTGAAGAAGGGGGGCGGGGAAATAGTACATGATATTGAACAAAGAGAGTCTGCGCACAACACAAAACCCTCGAAATGAAAAAAAAAAAGCAACAAACAAACAATCAAGAGCTACCGACGCTCGCGATTGAAAAACACGCCAGTCACCGGACACTCGGACTTGTTGGGTCGACAGCAGTGTAGATGGCATACGACGCCATTTGGATAGCGCACAACGGCTGCATCATGCGAAAACAACTTGCTGCACACATTGCAAGTGGTCGATTCCGTGACCAGGACTCCTCCTCGACGCAGCGAGAGCTGTTCGTTGCGCGTCTAATGAAGCATCGAAAAAACAAATGTAAGTCATGTTGTCGAAATGCAGTCTCGATACCATCCAAGAGAGCCGAAAGAAAAACACAAACCGAAATGTACTGCGCGCGAAGCAAATTCTTGACAATCATCAACTCTCGTGCGTGTCGCAGATTTTCGTCTATGCCGCGCTGTAAAAACTGGCTGACGAGATTGATAGACCAGTCTGACGGGAGCAGTTCCATGACCTGCAAGGGCAAACAATGTCAGAAACGCATGTTTCGGAAACACAACGTAACAGCAAAAGAGAAAGAAATGGGTGAATGAGTACCTTCGCGACGTCAAAATGAGACCCTTGGTTGTTCAGCAGGTCAACAGCCGGGATGACGAGCGGCTCGCCGCTGGTTGAAAAACAAACAAACAAACAAACAAAAAAAAAAAAAACGAGGGATCAGCGCAAAAATCAATCATGGCCATCTCGACAACCAGAACGAGGATGCTTACCCTCCCACCGGAGTCATGTACACCTTTAACAGTGTGAGATACAAATTGCGACGAAATTCTCGCCCAACGCCCTGCGTCACGGCGCAATACCGTTCAGCGCCTTTGAAATCCTGCAATCGATGCACGAGAATCGAGAGCGCCTTTTCGTGCTCGTCCATCTACGTCCAAAAAAACAAGAATGAATGACGCGACAAGTGCGAGCCCCAACCAAACGAGCGAGCTCAAAAGAGCAAAAACAAAACCACAACGAACAAGCGCCCTTTCGTACCTTGCCGTAAAGAATCGCACACTCAGAGTACAGCTCAGTGTCACGAATCCGACCGAGTAGCACTGGAACGCGGTAGTAGTTGGACGTCTCCAGCAGCTCGGCCAAGCGTCCACGCGCATCAGACAGGTTTTGCCGATCGTCGTCTGTCGCCTGCGAGCTTTTGACAAGCTTGAACTGCTCCTGGACGTCGTCAAGGTAGAGCAGAGCTAACTGCGTGTGATACTTTTCCTCCAAGGACAAGTTTTGCAAGAGAAACTCGAGGTACGCAACGACCGGGATTCGGCCAAACTTGCCCAGAAATTCAAGAATGTCGTCTGGAGCGAGTTGTAGCGGTACCTGCACGGGTGCACTTTGGCCGAGCGAAACAGACTGCGCAACTGCCGACGAAGAGGCTGGCAGAGAAGCAGAGGACGATGGCGATAGAATGGAGGCATCGTCGCTTGCGCGCACCAAATCAAGTCGCTCGGTAAATATTCTGGCACCCTCGCGCGGATCCTGATGCAGCACGTACTCTCCAAAGCGGCGCACCAGCTCGACGCTGGTCGTCGTGCGCAAAAGGTCAATCATGTGGCCAAGGCCGCCGTACGACGGGTCGGCCAACCGCTTCTCGTCCAGCTGAAGCCAAGTGTCGAGCGCCTTGCGCACCTTGCCGGTATGAGCGCAAAAGAGCGCCAAGGCGTGGTACAACTGTCGTTGCTGCAGATGGTCCTCGCAGTCCTCTGCCGCACAGCTGTTGGGCTGATTCACAAATGCAATCAGCCGCGACATTTCGGGCGACACAACCTTGCTGGGAGTGAGTTGCAGCTTGCTTTGGTGATCCCGGAGACGTTTGAGCAGCTTTTGCTTTGCATAGCGGTGCTGCGCTTTGCTGCTGTCCGGCTCGGTCGCAGCGCCCGAGGAGGATGTTGCCATGCTCGAGGAGCCAATCGCAACGTCCGATTTGGTCGTGGCTCCGTTGCTGCTCTCCAAGGACAGCCCCACGCCCGGTCGTACTGTTTGGGAAATAAAGTTGGTGTCTGGTAGAGTTGCAGCGGCCGCATCGGCGTACATACGAAGCAGCGCCGTGTCAATTTCGTCTCGCTTCCCGATCGCAAGCCGTGTGTCGCGAATAGACTCAAGATACTTGAGCAGGAAGGCATGTGCACTGTGCATGGCTTCGGGCGTTTCGCCAACAACGCCCTTCATATCTTGGAACGCGTGCAGTGGTGGACGTTCTGGACGAAACATGCTCAACTTGGGCATCAGCCATGGGCATAATACGACCAATTCGCGCGGATCGAGTAGGCTTTTTGTAAACATTTCTTCTGCTTGCTCGAACGATTGCATTGCCAAATAGACAAAGCCAGCTTGTTGTTGGATGCGTCGTAGGGCGCGTCTCTAATTTGAAAAAGCAGAAGGGGCAAAAAAAAAAAAAGAGTTGAGAAGAGGCGACTCAGCGGCTAATGCAACCTAAGCATTCCCTTCCTCCCTCTCCCCACACACACAAAATAAACGTCACTGACAAACTCTACTCACCCGCTTCTGGCCGTCAAAATCATCGGAATCGTGCGGAAGCGCTTCATCCGCAAGCGTTAAGGCCTCGCTAACCCGCCGCTCACGGAGCATGCCTTGGATTTGAGACGAGACTGGCACCGGATCCAGTGCATAGATGACTTGATGCGTAGCCGCTACAATGTTGCCGTTGCAGTCGGTCAGTGTACGGCCGCTTCGGAAGGGCACGGATTGCTTGAGCAGCTGATCGATGGTGCTGTGGACTTGTACCACATCGTCGCACATGGAGACCACGTACGGGTGATTGTAGCCGACACCGAGGGGGTTTGATGACAGCTGGAGCGGAGCGCGTGAGGGCGTGCCAGCCTCGGACACAAACATGGCAAGGGTGTCGAGGGAGGTTGTGACACCGAGCAAGAATTCGCCTGCACCCACAACCTTCACAGCTGGCCGAGTGACTTGCACGTCGAATGCAAAGAGCTCAATCATTGCTCCCTGATCAATGTGCATCATCGAATAGGCGCGAGGAAAGGCGAGACAAATGGCATTGCCAAACCGAGCCATCGCAAGTGGCAGCTCTGGCACCGGCAACTCTGCGTCGCCCGTGAGCTCTTCCGTCAGCCGGTACAAGCACAGGGCCTTTGCAGTGGCAGACTTTCGGCGCGCAACCACCAAACTGGACCGCGATCGCGACGCCTCGTCGTGACAAACCAGCCCCACATTCTTGAGCGTCCCGTTCGCCGACGTATCCACCTTCAGGTTGTACATGTGCATGATGATCATCGTCCCATTGCACACCACGACCAGCTTTTGGTGGCGAGGAACGGCGAGAATCTTGTCCACGGCCTTCTTGCCCAAACCTGTGTCAGGCCGAGATTTTGTCAACAGGTCAGCAATCCGCCGTATCCTTCACATCGTCGCTCTTGCAATATTAACAAAAGTCCATGGATCCTGAGCGACAGACACCCCCCCCCCCAGCACAGCGACACAATGGTCAAACCAAGCAAAATAGACAATAAAAAAACAAATTCTGACCGAGATGCTTCTTGGACTCGAGGCGGCTTTGGTAGGTCGTCTTGCCGGTGGGCGACACGCCGCGTTCGAGAACAAAGTAGAGAAGGAAGCCGTCTGATGTGCCGACGTAGACGTTGTTGTCCCAGAGCTCGACGCTCGTGATCTGCAGCCAAATGCACAGCAGCACAAAGAAACGAGCTTTGAGCTTTGTAGGTCTCCGTCCGCTGGTGCCCGTCCACCACCCCATCCCGACCCCTTACCTCGGCCTTGGACGAGCGATCCTCAATCACGTTCTCAATCATGGGCACGAGCTGGAAGGGCGTCACTGAGCTCGTCCCTCCGACCGCGGCTGCTGTCGCTGCGCTCATTTTCTGGTCTGGTCGACTGATTTGCCCACAAACTCGACTGGGCAGTAAGGTTCTGCCTTTGGTACGGGTTGGAGAGCAGAAAAATGTGCGAACTATGAATTCGAAAGATCGATGGGGGTGCGTGATAAGATGGATGGGATTTTTGCTAGAAAGGAATAACGGCAAAAAAGTGAAACTTTGCCAACTTTTTTGTCAACTGTTGTCAACTTTTGGTCAACACGAAAGGGTTTCATACTGTAGGGTTTAATGAAAAACATCCCCACATCCAACGCAATTTGGTTGGGGGGAGCAGGGATGGAAGAAGAAGAAAAAAATACAAATCGAGGAACGACGACAAATAACAAACTCACGCCGAACAAAAAAACAAATTTAACCAATACAATACCGCTTTCCACAACAATTTCAAAGGACATTTAGGCAGTTCGCTCGGTCACCTCAAGGTGGAGCTGGTCCTTGGGATAGATGGTGGCAAAGACAGTAATGTCGTCACTCTCGGCGGTGCGGTTGTGCTTCCAGTCGCAGCGCATGGAAATGTAGGCCATGAATGCCAGCAGGTGCGAGACGGCGTACTCGCGGCCGAGGCAAAGATGGGTGCCGTGGCCGAAAACGAGCCAGTTACGGGGCGACTTGATGTCCTCCTGGCGCTCGGGGCCAAAGCGGTCGGGGTCAAACTTGTCGGGGTTGGCGTAGACCTTGGGGTCGTGCAGCGACGGGTAGATGGAGGGAATGACAATGGTGCCGTTGGCAATCTTGGTGCCGTCCTCGAGGACAACGTCCTTGGAAGCAGCGTAGGGCACCATGATGACGGGCGGGCGGTAGCGGAGAACCTCCTTGGCGACCTGGCGGGTGTAGACGAGGTCCTTGACGTTGTCGCCGCTGACGGGCTCGTTGTTGGGGCGGACGCGGGCGTTCTCCTCGCGAACCTTGGCCAGGACGTCGGGGTTGTCTGCGAGGCACTGGAGCATCCAGGTGACGGAGGCGGTCGAGGCGTCTTGCGAGGCAAAGATGAAGGTCAGCACGACCAGCGCCATCTCGGCGTCCGAGAACTGGCGCGGCGGGACAAAGTTCTCGTCGTCTTCAGCCGCGTCGGCCTTGGCCTTGGCGGCAAGTTGGGTCTGGAGCCAGGTGTCGAGCAGGCAGGTGGAAGGGTTGCCCTTGGCCATGGAGGCGCGCGCAAGGACGACGCACTTTTGGATTTCAGAGACAATGTACTTGCGGGCTTGGACGGCGCGGTAGACGTTGGTGCCGGGGAAGGCGAAGGGGAAGTTGACGAGCTGGAGAGCAGCAGTAATGTCATAGTAGCGCTCAGAGATCTTCATGCGGACGTCGTCGGGCATGTACTTGCCGCAAAAGACGTTGAGGGACGTGTCCATGTTGAGCTCGCGAATCGGTATTTGGTACTGCAGAGACTTGCCCTTGTTCTCAAGCCACATGTCGACGTGCTTCTGGTACGACTCGAACTGGAGAGGCAGGTACGAGGTGAGTGCGGCGGGGGTGAAGAGCGGGTTGAGCGACTTGCGGTACTCGACGTGCGCCTTGCCGCCAAGGAAGACAAAGTTGTCGGGGCAGATGATGGTCTTCATCGAGGCGACGAGGCAGGGCACGAACGAGCCGGGTGTGTTGAAAAAGTAGCGCGAAATGTCATTGTCCGAGCCAATCATGATAAAGTGCTGGAAGACGGACGTGAACGAGATGCGGCCAAGGTTCCACTGCGCCATGTAGCCCTCAAACTTGGGGTTGACCGAGTCGTAGAAGAAGCCAATCAGCGGCGGGACCCACTTGGGGCCGGGCAGCGACTGCTTGCGGCGACGGTAGTTGATCTGGTCGAGCAGAAGGATGGCGCCAAGCACAAGAACGGCAATGGCCAGCTTGAAGGTGAGCGGGGTCACGTCCAAGTGGGAGTCGACGAGCTTGCTGAGGGCGTCAATCTGGGTCATCAGGAAGCCCTGGGGAGCAGCGGTCGAGTTCTGGATGGCGGCAGAAACCGTCGCGGCGTTCTTGCTGGCGGCATCGCGCGTCACAATCGCAGCAGCGACGCCGAGCGCGACCACCGTGCTGGCAACAAAGCCTGCGTTCGACTGCAGGTAGGCGAGCGGGCCTTGGCTTGATTCAAGCGGCTTGGAGTGGGACATGGTTTTTTTGAATAGGGTAGGTTTTTGATCTGTGTGTGGTTCAGAAGGAGGGGGATGGAAGTCGGAAAGCGGGTTAGTTTCTGAGCCAGAGGTCCGCCGTTTCTGTTCGCCCGTTTCTGTTCGCTTTGTTCAAGTCTCGCTCGTTTTGATCAACAGCAACCAAAAGTAAACGAAAGATCAAGAACAATGCAGAAAAACAGTAGAGGAAACGCAAAAAACAACAACAACACACAAAATACAAAGCCGCAGACATTTGTCACAAACAAGGCGAAACTGAACATGCGACGGGAATTTTCAGAAAGGGAACGAACGAGTAACGATAGAAACACTCGTGCAACTGGGGGGAAGAGATCTGCTGCGTTTTTTTGTAATCACCCAACGAAATTGGGAGGGGGGAAGAACGAGCATGCTCAGAACACGTTGGAAGGAAAGAGTCGCTGCAAGTCATCCCGAAAAAAAAAAGAAGATGTGGGGGAGGTACAAAAGCACAAGAAAAACGACAAGTTGCTCAAAAAAAAAAAAATTAAAAAAATAAGGAACAAAAGAAAGGGGGGAAGGCGAGTTCATCATTCTGACGAGCATCAAGCATAAGAAGAAGGATTATCGCTTGGAGAATGCTGGACAAGCAGCTGGGCCCTTCAGAATAGTCGGGTGCTAGATCCGACTATTTCGTGAGTGTGCGGCTTTTTTTTTTTTGGAGTTTTTTTTTCGGATTTTTCAACACTGTGCTCGAGTAACGCCAGATGTGGCAGAAATCATTGTGTTTCTATGCACATGCATTCACGTCTCTCAACATTACGTGGAAAGCGAGCGGCGATCACGCTTCGCTCCAGCTCACAAACGCTTCGACAAACAGTGTCGCTCGCGCCGACTGAAACCAAAAAAAAAAAAAAAAAAAAAAATCCCTAAAACCCCACCTCCCCGCGACCAAAGTGTTGTTGTTCGATTCGAAGCGAGCCAGACATCCACCACCCAATGCTGGAATCGCGCAGCAAACCTACATGAACAAACGCGAGAACGAACAGCAAAATCCAAAATCCGAAACTGTTCAAAAAAAAAAAGTAAAAAAGTAAAAAAGTAAAACTGAACTGTGACGAAAAAGTCAAACAAACAAAAAAGAAAAAAAAAAAAAAAAAAAGAGCAGAACGCTGGAGTCTGTTGCGCGGCGTGTGATTGGCTGCGAGCGACGGAAACGTACAAAATGGGGTGATGACTTTGCCCCCGAAGGCCCGCCAGATGCGGAGTGCGTTCGCAAGCACATACTGATGAACGAATCAACACGGAGCTCAGATCGTGCGGTGCGAGCGGCAGGATTCCGAGTTGAAGCGGCAGGCGCACCGAAACAACCTAGAAAACGCGGCGTTTCGGCAAGTGCGTAATCCCCGCACACATGCTGCGGGTTGCCTGCTGCTCCGATAAATGAATAAATGTGGTCCGACCCGAGATGAAGAAGCGTAATCGTATCAGCGGTGCAACTGCGCTGTCTCATCATCGTTTGAAACAAACAAAAAAAAAAAAAAACAAGAAACGAACATGTTGTGTTTCAGTGGATCACGACGACGACGACCTGGACAAGCACGCACTCTCATACATGTACATAAAAAGCAAAAGTCAAAAGTCACGCAAGAGGACAACGGTCAATCCGCCTTCTTGGAACTTCGCTTTCGTGTTGTTGGTCCAGTGGTGGTTTCGACCTGAGACGGTGCAACCGCCTCCTTGGCATCAGCGGAAGAAGCTCCTGGCCGTTGTTCGGCACCTTCTTGTGCTTTGTCTTCTTCTCCTGCTTCTTCTTCTTCATCGGGGTTGTCTTGATATGCATTGAGCTCGCCAAACTCTCCACGGAGCCAGGAAAACACAACGGGGAAGCCAAGGCACGTCGGGACCAAGTAGAGCAATGCCGGCTGGAAAGCAAAAGCAACAGCAAGAGGCAAAAAGCAAAAGGGGAGGGGGTGAGTCAAAATGCATGACATGTCCAGCCCTCGAAAGTACAATCGAACAGCAAGCACACAAACCTGCGCTGCCTTGAACACGTGCATCACGAAAATAGTGGTGGCCAAGCCGACAAAGTAAGCGAGCATGCCGACCGAAAAGTACGGCGCTGCAGTTTGCGAGCGGGAACGGTCAAATCGCAGGAGGAGCGCAATAACAATACCTGTGTTTTGGAGCATGGCGATGGCATGTGGAAGTGGGTGAGCTTGAAGGGAGCACGCAAACAAGGCAGGTCTGCTTGGAAAACGTACCGGGAATAACAATGTCGCCAAGGCCGAGCATGGCGTGGTTGGTAGCTGCGAAGCCGTGCACGAAAATGTCCTTTGGGAAGACAAGCTTGACGGGTGCATCGAACGAACGAGCGACGGTGACCTGCCCAAACAAACAACAAGTTAACGCAAATTGTCGTCGTCGCGTGTGTTTCGGTTGTGTAGCGAAGCGCTGTTGCAAACGCTACCCAACCGAGACACACACGACGACGACAACCTGCGTTTTGCAGCTCGTGCAGAAACCACTCACCATGACGTTCGTGCCAAAGACCCAGAAGATGTCGTAAATGAACAGACCCGATAGCAGAATGGCACCAACTTTGAAGCTGCCGAGAGCCAGCAGTTCAATGGCATTCGTGGCAAAGACGAGGCCGAAAATGTTGTTGGCAATCCAGTGCTTGGTGAAGAGGTACCATGCGCCGACCACCGCGGCAAGCGCCAGGCACGCCAGATCGAGAAAGTCGACACTGAGGTCAAACCAATCGGCCTTCAGGGCGGGATTGTCGCGATGGCTGCGGGTGATTTGGAAGCGGAAGGGCTCGGCAACCAGGATCGCGGGGGCGAGGTGCTCCACGGACTGGCGGATTGTCTTGGCCAGCGCAAACACGCCGAGCAGCATAAAGTATCCCGTGAGGACAAAGTTGACCAATTCAGGCGAGAAGAGCTTGAAGACCACATAGAGGCCAAACAGCATACACGACGCAATGATGGGGAACATTTTGGCGTCGTGGCTCGTCATGGACTCGGTCGTGGCCTGTCCGTTCTCGTCCTTTGCCTGTGATGATCGAGGTGCAGTGCAGGTGTGTGAGTAATTTTGTTTCCATTTGTATGCGGATGAGCGGCCAAACTAGGTCACAATGGGAGGCGAGATCTCAAGAACTGCAATCGTCCGACCCTCAACACGGCAAGACGCGGCCCCTCTTTCAGGATCACTCGTGGAAAGCGGTTTCCAGTGTTGTGCGTCATTGCTGTGTACACTACCTTGACAGCGACGACCGAGCGACGGGCGCCGACAATGATGGGAACGACGGCCATCAAGAGCAACGCGCCGTACGTGGCATAGAGACCGAGCTCGCCGCCCTCGTCCTTGATCGCGGTGCCCTGTGGCTGCAAGGGATCCAATGTGCTGGCAAGCGTATCGACGCTCTCGACAACCGCGGCAACAGCCTGCGCGACCGTCTCGACAGTCTGCTCCAAAGCACTCTCCCCGTCGTGATGTTCGGCCATTGTGTCAGCGAAACGCAAACAAACAAGAAAAAGAAGAAGAAGAAGAAGAGAGGTCTGGCCAAGCATGTCAAGTCAACAAAGTTCGTTGGGATGGTCACAGATCTACTGCAGGTGATGACTCAAAGTGCTGCGTTGTGAAAGTGGAACACAAGTTTCGTGTATTGAAGGGGGTACTAACAACCTGACGCTGGGGCAGCTAACAAACGAGGGGAAAAGCAATGGATAACAATGAGAACGATGAATGGTGTGATCGCTATTCTGGGTTGGGCATGTCAAACTCCTGAGAACCTTGTCTTGGACGCTGGACGTGTTGTTGTTGTTGTGGTTGTTGTTGTTGCTGTTCTTGTTGTTGTTGTTGTAGCTGCTGCTGTAATTGCTGCTGTCGCAGTTGAGGAGCAAACGCTGGATCATGCCGCAGTTGCTGTGGGTGTTGGCGTTGTGCTGGTGTGAGCTGCTCCTGGCGGTGTTGTTGTCCAGAACCCTGGTTTGGATTGGGAGCGGGATGGTTGCCACCTGCCGGGATCTTGACAGGCTGCGCGGCGCGCGTGTGTTGTGGCGGCGTCGTGATTGGCTCGTGCCCAAAGCAATACTTGTACTGGGTGTCCTTGTACGTGTTCTCGTGCACAACGGACAGCGATGAAGTGCGGCACTTGGCGAGGCACATTTCAAACTGGTCCTGCACGTTCATAAAGAGGGCATCGCGTGCTCGATGGAGGAACTTGATCAAGAAGAAGGTCTGGAACGACAAAAAGAACGAAAAAGATACGAAACATAAAGTCAACGACGCTGCAATGTTGAAAGAATAACAACCCCATAAACGGTCGGAGACAAAATCTGACTCGCCTTGCTCGGCTGCAGGCAGCACGATACGCAGACCTCAAATTGGGTGCAGCAATCGTTTGGAGTGCAGCTGTCGCACACATACTGCCTGGTCGTATTCGCAGCGGGCGAGCAGCACCCATTTGGCAGAACACTCGTTCGTGTGCACATATTCCCTAAGCACCAAAAGCACCAAAAGCACCAAAAAAAGATGGCGCAAATAGTAACAGCATTGTTCAAATCCAGCAAGATGACAGGGCCATGCCAAGATCACCAATGCAGCACAATCAAACGTCAGTGATACAAATACAAAGAAAGAAGCCTGGTTTTTTTGTTTTCGTCGGAGTTGATGTTGCCTCACCTCGGTCATCAGTGACGAGGACGCGGCCTTGGACGGTGTTTCTGCAGCCGGTGGCGCTGCTTGCATTGCTGCTGAACGAGCGGTCCTTCCACGAGGCGGCCGCTGCAGCAACAGCCTCCTTGTCGCCGCCCTCGGCAGTGCCCTTGGTGTGCAGGGTCCGCCCGCCAGTGTGGCCAATCTTGGATGCGTCGCGGGCGTTGTGGTACTCGGCCATCACAAACAGCATCACAACCATGAGCAGCACCAGCAGCATCCGCGGTCGGAAGAGCGTCCGACGCAGCCGCCGAAAGAAGCCCGCCGTCGACGAGCGCGGCGCGTCCAATGTGATGCGCACTGATCCACCAGGCCGCATTTTTTTGCAAGTCGTCTCGCTATATCGCACCCAGTACGACAATAGTGTAATATCGAACGCTGGTGTTTTTGTAGTTGTGCTTGATTTTCCGCTTTGCAAAAAAGACTGTGTCGCTTTGTGGAAACGAACAATACGAAAATGAAAAATGACTGCAAAAGGGGAAAAAAAAATTGGACCAAACTCTCAGATTCTTCTATCAAACAAAACAAAAGGTCGGCCATCATGCACGAAACTACACACAACAGGGTTTCGTCCACCCTTGATAGAGAAGAGCAGAGACGCATCACTTCTTGGGAGCAATCAGGTTGCCAAAGGTTGTAACATGGAAAAAGTTGGTGGGATCGTACTTTTGCTTGAGCTCAACGAGACGAGCAAGCATCTGCTGGCCGTACGACTCGACTGCGGTGCCTTCGCTGGAAAAGTTGGCGTACAGGGTGCCGGTGTGGAATGGCACGAGCGAGGTGCGTGTTTCGCGCAGCCATGCCTTGTTGGCTTCCGCCTCAGAGTCCTCAGCCCACGCAGAAATGAAGGCGACAGTAAAGGCGGCGTGGCGCCAAGCAATGGCGGCAGACTCGACGGGAACGCGAGCCCTGGCACCGCCGTTGCTCTCAATCATGAACAGGTTCTTCGAGGAAGGCGACTTGGCATAAGCTTCGGTCAGCGTCTTGATCAAGCCTTCCGACAACTCGTTCAAGTTGAGGCCGGCCTCGTAATAGTTGCCACCATGGGGGGCGAGCGTGTCCTTGGCGCGCTGCCAGGTCGTCCACGGGACGGTGCCAACACCAACCTGCATGATCGGGCCCAGATCAATCAGGGGCTGGACCAGCGGACGGCCATCTTCCTCTTTGCCATTGTAGCAAAACTCGAGAATGACAACAGGGCCGGGAGGAGCATTCACGCAAACCGCATAGAGAGCCAGAGCGTCCGGCATGGTCTTGGTAAACTCGTTGAACTTGGTCAGAATCTCCTGTGCTCGAGGGAACGGGAAGATGAGCGCGCCTCCAAAGACAGTCGCGGCTCCAGCACCAAACTCGTGCGCCTTGAAGGTGAAGCTGGTGACAATGCCAAACGCGGTGCCGGCACCCTTCATGCCCCAGAACAGGTCCTTGTACTCGTTGTCCGCAGTGACACGGATCAGCTTGCCCTCCGCAGTCACAACATCAAGACCGATAATGTTGTCGCAGGTCAGGCCGTAGGAGCGCGCCATCCAGCCGACGCCGCCGACCAGAGCCAGGCCGCCGACGCCAGTGTCCGAAACAATGCCAGCAGGGACGACCAAGTTGTGAAGAGAGAGCTCGGCGTCTGTTGAGCAAGGATGGAGTGAGTCCCAGTGTGGAAGACGAGCAAGTTTCCGATTGACAAAGCATTGCGACAAAAATCGGGACAAATCGTACCGACATCTCCAAGCTGAGCGCCACCGCCAACGTGGACAATCTTCTTGTCTGCCTCGACGCGAACCATGCTCATCTAGCTCAAGATCAACGTCGTCAATCCAGTCGATGAGATGAACGACAAAAAATCAAATCAAATCGCTCGAGACGAATCTGCATCCGAGTGGTCTCCTCACCTGGCGCAGGTCAATGACAAGGCCATCGTCGACGAGGCAACGCAGGCTGTGACCACCGCAACGAGCAGTCACTTCGAGGTCGTTGGCCTGGGCAAACTTGATGGCAGCAATCACGTCCGTGTTGGTCCTCGCTTGGACAATGTACTTGGGATGCTTCTTGAGCTCGGCATTCCAGGATGCGCGGATTTGCTCGTAGTCAGGCGAGTCACGGGTCACAAGACGACCGCGCAGGGACTGTTTTGAAAAATGACGGGTAAACACAAAGCAAGTTGGTTGTTGATGCAAAAAGTGAGCGAAATTCGCCGAACGATTTGTGATTTATTATTATTGTTCAGCTCATTTGAATGCGAAAAAAACAGCGCGTTTCTTGCAATCGAACAACAGCGAGTGCCGCCCGATCCACTCAGACCTTAACTCCATCCCCCCCCCATCCAATCCACTGAAAGGAAGAGTCAAAGAAGCGGGAAGCAAATGAACCCCAATCGAACAAGAATGAAACGGGACCAAAAAAAAAAAAAAAAAAAAAAAAAAAAAAAAAAAGGCAGAACAAAGCGAATTTGTAGTTTGTTTGCGGTTGCCTACTCTTTCCTTGCCACCCGCCCATCACACAGCAACCAGACTCGCATTGTGGCTGGCGATGAGCATTGAGGTCAGCGAAGAGACGCACAAGCAAACGCAGTTGCTGGCAGAGTCGCAGCTGGCGAAAACAGTGGAAGGGGGGTGCGTGACTGCGGGCATATTTTGCCTCGCCTTCTCGCACACTCCTTTTTCAACCGTTCCCCGTCCTCGTCTTGGCGATCGTTCACACGCTTAAAAAAGGCAAAGGGAAGCGGAGAAAAACAACGTCATCCACTTGCAAACCGCAAAACAGCGAGGAGGGTCTTCCCCGAGCCTAGTTAAGTCTGTCTTGGCAGGATTGCTGGGGAAATCGTTGGCCGTTCGTTCGGCTGGGGTTGCTCGACGCTGCGGCCGATCGAACCGCACAGACGAGAGCAAGGGAGCGGATGCGTGTGAGAGTGAGCGAGGTGAAATGGAAGGTTACAGCAGCAAAGGCTTGCTCGGGAGTGAGTTCGACGGGAGCACCGGGATGAACCATGATGATGATGATGTTGTCAGTTGGAAAATTTGGGGCAGAACTAAATAAGACTGGTTTCTTGACAAACGTTCAAAGTTCAAACAAAAATCGCTGAGAATCCAAACACAGTCCATCAGCAGTCGAGCTCCAAGTGATGTTTAGCAGGAATCCATGGGGAGGAATGGGTTTGCGTTTGAATCGACAGACCTTTTCACATCGGTCGCGAATTGTCAGATCAGCTCAGAGGCAGACTCGCCTCGGTCCCGGCGAACGCAACATCCGGATGGTGTGGAAGCATCTAAAGCCTGAACGAAGGCTGCTACTTTCCAGAGCCTGTTTCGAAGCACTGACCGACTCGCCCTGGGTTACCTTGCGATGCCGCTGTGTCGAGGTGATTTCCGCGCTTGATCCTGACTGCAAAGGTGGCATGCCATCTCTGCGAACCGAAACAGCTCTGCGGTGGGCGTGTGTTGACGCTGGGTTCCGTACCACAAAGCGCAAAATGATTGGTGATTTTCTTGCCAAATGGGACATTGAGGCACCGGCGGATGTACCTCATTTCTAAAGACACGCAGTAATGCTCGTGTTGGCTCTCTCTGTCTCTTACTCGCTCTGTACTGCTGCGTTCTGTTCTGTAAGAGTAAGTGAGATCAGCGATCGCGACAAACAGAGGCAACAGTGGCACAGCATCTCAGTCGTTTGCCGAAATGTTTACACGAACCTCGATGGCTGGCGCCGCAATCTTTGCTGTGCCGCATCGCATTGCTTCCCTCGCCTTGTCATCAAAGAGCTGCAGACTTGGATGCAACTCTGCTGCGCTTGCGATGCCGCAGCGATATGTCTCGGCAAAGAGCAGGCCGAAAATAAGTCTTTCAGCAGCCTGCAGTTTCGCGCCTTTATTAATGCAAAGCGTTTCGTCTGGCACCGAGCGCACGCTCCACGCACTCTCCAACGAGACATCTGCCGAATCATCTGCGGCAGCGCAAGCCGCGCATCCGTTTGCGCAGCAATGTCGAAATGCCTCGAGTCTTGGCGTTGTGCCGCCTTCTCTGGTTTCGTCCACCCAAGTTGAAACGCAGTCAGAGTTTCGGTATGTGTAGTGATGTTGTTTGCAACATTGTGACTCGTCCGGAGTGCAGTTCGAAGAAGAGCTTTGCTCACCTCGTCTGTATTGCATCACCGACTCCCCAGTCTGCACCAGCTCCGCCTCCAGAACTTCAAAAAGTTCGAGGACATAACTTTCACCCTGACGCCCAGCCCCAAGATTATCGTTGGCGCGAACGGCTCGGGCAAGACGCAAATCCTCTGGGCGATTCTCATCTTCCTGCGCGGCCACAACGCTCGTGTCCCCAGCTCCAAGCACTTCAGCAAGTATGTTTTCCGATTCGAAAATGAGCTGGAAGACCTCTTTGGTGATCGGTTCTTTAGCAATAAGTATCAGTCGCCAGATACGCTCGTTCGCGTCGGCGCGCCAAACAAGAGATTCACCCTGACTGGCACGTTCCACGATACCAAGTACCATCACACCAACGAGAACGTGATGCTGGAGTACTCGCTGGACAAAGGGCTGCTTCAAGACAAACCCGACAACCACCAGTCGCTCGCCCCAATCCGCTTCGCCTTCATGCCATCGATGTATCAGTGGGGAGACAAAAAGCAAGAGCTTGGCAGAGGCGAGATGTTTCTGTCTGCCGGTGTCCAGCATATGCGATGGCGACTGGAGAAGGCTGTGCCGTTTGTCAACGACGCGGTTGGCCACCTGGGATTCCAAGTCAAAGTTGAACTCGAACGCTCGGGTTCTGAGTTCAAGCGTTCCTCTGTCACCGAGAATGGAGTCACCCTTGACATTGGTGCCTGCGCCGGCTCGCTGCAGAAGATTATTGCCATTCTGACGCTTCTCTACCATCTGACCGCTGGCGCAACCATCAACGCTGCGCAAGACGAGGCCCTCGAAAAGAAGATTGCGCCCGACTCGAACACCTTCGCGCAGCGCATCTTCCTCATCGACGAGCTCGAAGCTCTGCTCTACGAGAATGTGACGGCCAAGCTGTATGACTTTCTCGTCAGCACGTGCGCCAAGCACAACATTCAGCTCATTGTCGCGACCAACTCGCGCGCCATCATCGAGCCGCGGCTGAACACCAAGCGTGAGGTTTTGTTCCTCACTCCGGATGGCAAGGCCGTCGAGCTGACAGGCGAACTGCCCAATGACGAGCAGAACCAGCAGTCCCTCTTCCCAGTCCTCAACGCACTCAGCCAGGTCAAGAACAACAACAAGCCTCTGCTCGTGCTCGAGGGCGTGAACGACCAAAAGTTCTACGGCAAGTACACCGAGCTCGGCGAGAAGTTCCAGTTCATGACCACAGCTGGTGCTGTCAAGAAGGAGGGCGTCTCCCACATCCTGAGGCAAGCCAATCTCAAACACGTGTTTCTGAGCGACAGCGACATGTACGCCGCCTCGTCCGACCTGGCTGACGCTCAGAAGCGGATGACTAAACATGTTGGCTCCTCTGTCGTCTACACGCAACTGCCGTGCGTCGAGTCGTACCTGATCTTGAGTGAAATGCTCAATCATGCCGAGGCGGCATATAAAGGGCGCCACAAGGCCATCAAAGTGCTTGTCGGGCACAAGCTGTACTTTGTAAACTCATTCAAGAGCATGCTCAAGGAGGTGGGTCCGAAGCCTTCGACAATGCCGATTAAAGCAGAGCAGAAGCAGCGAACAAAGGAAGAGATCAGTGGCATGACCTTTGAGGGGCTCAACGCGCTTTCCAGTGACGAGTTTGGCCAGTTTACCAAGCAAGAAAAGGACGAGCTGTTCCAGAAGGCAGGCCAGACTTCGAGTGTTGCCAGTGCCTCCAAATCTGCAACAGACCTACTTTTCCCGAAGCTGCCACTCCCTTTGAACGCCAGCTCGAACGATCCGGAGGAAGTTTGGACTGCGATGCATGACAAGCAGAGCGACAACGCTTCGTCAAGCTCATTCGATCCTGTTGGCTTTTGGACCACGTACGTCAAGATGGTGCATGGCAAGGAGGCAATGGTGCGTGGACCTGACGAAACGCCGATGAGCACCGACGAGATGATTGACAGGACGAAGTGTCTCCACCCCAAAGTCCAAGCCCTGCTCGACCAAACTGTGCAGGCTGTTCTGCACTGTCTCTCAGAGGCTGACCATGAGTGAATGTTTGGAACTGCCTCATTGCATACACTGTCAATGTCAACTGTTCCGAGATTCAAACCGGGATTCATCTCTTTGAGAGTCCAACGCCCTTTCCATGGCGCTTTGTGGTTCATGTAAACACGACCAACAGGTTCCACCATCTTGAATATAGCGCCATCTGCTTTCCATTGATCGAGCTCAAGCGCTCAACGCTTTCGCGCTTCAATTCTCACCGTCTCAATCAAAACCATCTACCTTTCAATACACTGTTTTACGAACATCAATGCTGTTGCTGAGACGCGTGGGAACGAGGACTAGAAATCAGATTGGAAAAGCTCCAATTCGCTCCCTACTCACTACAACAACGTTTGAATATCAGCGGCGAACCTGCTCAGCAACAGTGCCAGACACAAACGGCAGATCTCGCACACGAGCCGGACACACCACCACGTCCTTTGGCCATAATCGCTTGGAACATGTTTAGATCTATCTTTGATTTGCTGCAGATCTGATCCTCGCCATTCCCGACCACCACGATAGCCGCAACAGCTTGCGAAACCAACTTAATTGCCAGGAGCTGGATGTGTTGCTTGCATCATTGCTCGATGGTAATAAAAAAATAAAAAAATTGCTCGGCGGATATCGAACCAAGCAAAAACGACAACAGAACTCAGTGCAACGCACCTGTTGAGGGCGAAAAAGCGAATGCAACGCACCTGTTGAGGGCGAAAAAGCGAATGTTGCTCGACGGAAACGAAAAGATGCGAGGCCTTGGTAGGGTTCACCAGATTGACGGCGAACATGGCCCCTGTGTTCCTTCGTAAATGCTGATGCGAGTTCGAGAAGCGAGAAGAAAAACCGACCTCCCACAGACCGGCATCCAGCGATAAAGACAGAATCAACAATGAATTAAATTTACAGCAGTTTTTAAGAACCAGCGACCGATTGGCATCGTGTGCACGGTCCGTTACGAGGCTCGCAAGGACGATGGTCGAACCACACTCGTTTTTGCACATCCGAACCGCCAATTGCACGCTCAAGCACGGTCTGGCAACTATCAGTATCAAAAATACAGTTCAAAGCAAAGCTTTAACGGTAAGTTCAGTCATGCAGTCCAGGATGGCAAAGAAAAAGAAAAAAGAAAAAAAAAAAAAGCTTGAAGATCGAAACAATCAAACAAAAAGAAGAGTTACAACAAGCAGTATTCCCGCGTGGTCTCCCACCGCAGTACTAACTACTCTCATGGTGGTTTAACTTCGCAGAGCGGAACGGGATGCGGTGCATTCCACCAGATATGGCCGTAACTGGAAGTGTTATTTGGGTGCCTTGTTCTTGTACACACCAAAGCGAGACGAAGAGAGGAAAATGGAAGAAGTTGATCGAAATTGAGAGTGCAAAACTGGCTGTCACCGTCAAACATCACGACCATAAATCACCACCATTGACCAAATGCAAAAAACTCACACCTTTGAACTCAGTCTTGTTTGCTCAGATCGAGCACCTGTCCGACGTGTCGACACCCCGCCTCCAACCCTGCTCGCACAGACCGGGACTCGCGCTGTTCGTCTGGCATGGCGCGCCGCCCACCCATCGTGTCGGTCGTGGCACTGGTCTCGTTCGCTCTGGGCTGGTTTGTGTCGTCGAGTCTCATTCACCTGTCGCCAAGTCCGAACTCCCTCACCAGCACTTCACAGTCCATCATCGTCTCGAGCGCCGGCATCCAATGTCCTGTCTGCAAGTCGTGTCCCAATCGTCCGCTGACGCCTTGTGTCAGCGAGTCATCTGTCGCTCCTTATCTGCTCAAAAAGCACGCAATCGTCGCGGAGCAACTGAAAGCGCACATGCTCCGCGCGCGCAGCCAGTTTACAGGTTTGGGATTTACCATTGCAATTAGTTGGTTTGCAGCAGGCCATGTTCCAATCCTAACGCGATTGCGCCGTCGCTTTCATTTTTAGAACCTTCAACCGACCGCGTTCACCCAGCTCTGATCGATTTGCTCCCATCCGAGTCGGCAAGCATTCTACAGAAGCCCGTGCTGCCTCCTGTCCTGCAACACGGCATACGCGTAGCTTCATTCAATATCCGCAATTTCGTGGAGCCGTGGGAGATCCGCAAAGCTGCAATTGCCAGACAACTCCGAGCAACGCATGCTGATTTCATTGGATTGCAAGAGCTGCGAGTGTTGCCGGATCAGGTTAGATTGGACTGCTGAGCTTGGGCACACAAGGCTTTAAGGCTTTGGTTTTACAAAGGACTATTGACTCATCGAAATCAAACCTTCCTTCTCTCAGTCGATGGGCCAGCTGGAACAACTTGCTCAACTGCTCCCCGAGTATCGCTTCACACACTTTCAGGCCGCACAAACACTGTCCGGAGAGATCATCGAGGGTCTTGGAGTAAGGGCAACTTGGAATGAGATTGCGCTTTCCCCCCCTCATTTTCTTTGGCTTACCACCTTCAATCTCCCAGATCCTTTCCAAGCACCCTCTGGAGCATATCGAATCTCTCGCAATCAATCCGCATCCGCAGCTCAGCTCGGATACGAACGCCCGCGTTTGCTTGCGCGTGGATCTTGATATTCCCAAACTGGGGCGTGTCGAGGTTTTCGTCGCCCACCTTTCATTTGATGCTGGCGAACAATGCCGGCAAATCGCACAAGTCAGTCACTGGATGGAATCCACTTGGCAAAGCACCCGCGCATCACAGATTCTGCTCGGCGATTTTAACGTGTATTTCGATTTTGAATGGTACGCTCGTCCCGTTCTTCACATGGCACAGTTTTTATCCCGCTCACTTGAAAAACATATATACGCACGCATACAATCACACGCAGGTCGATTGATCCGTTGACTGCGAGAAGCCGGGACGCCAAGGATTTTTTAGCTTCCCCGCTCAACCCTTGCGCAGCTGCATACTCGCAACAGTTTCCATTTCACCTTCCAGAACATTCCTTTATCGACGCTTGGCTGAGCTTTGTGGCACAGCTCGACCGTCGCGAATCCCGAGACAACCCTGGCATCACCTATCCAGCCATGCACAACATTGCAACCGCTGATAGTTGTCGACCGGATCGGATATTGCTGCGTAGTGACACGCTTCATGTGCACCATGCTCGCCGATTTGGCTTCCTGCCGTTTGACGACGACGGGACCGAGCTCCCACCAGGTCGCTCGGGATTTTTCGCCTCCGATCATCTCGGCGTGTTGGTTGACTTTGTCGCCCCTCAGTGAGAACGTTCTTGTTCTCACAGACAGCCTTGTCATTTCATTGTTAAGACGTTAATACTATCAATTCACATTTTCGATGGTTTTTTTTTTGGTTTAACGTGGGCAACGCAACAAACAAATCTACATCTGGACTCTTGGACTTCGCTTCATCATCGAATACGCGCGACAGATTGCAGAGCACTTGTCTGCTGGCGGCTGTTGCCGGGTTGACTGAAGACATGCCAGAAGCGTAGCGTCTCGTCGCCAGCACCGGTAACGACCGTCTCTCCATCCGGAGAAAGCGCAAGATACAGCACGCGCATCGTGTGACCGGTAAGAATAGCCAGCTGCGAGAGCTGTGGATAGCGCCACACCACAATCTGGTTTTGGGAGTACCCATGCGTGCTGACGAGCTCGGGCGACGATTTCGACCACGCAAGATTGCACACTTGAGACCCTGTCTCAATGTGGGTGAGACAGGCACCCAGGGTCGTGTTCCAGAAACGAATGGTCTTGTCGGCAGTGCCGCCACCAGAGGCCAACAGTCCATGCTGGTGCGGCGACCACGCAATGGCCTTGACTGCTGCAGCATGTTCAGAGAACCGTAGAATGGGCTCTCGCATCTGATCAAGCTTCCAAATATGCAGCTTGTTGTCGTTTCCTCCAGATGCGAGCATCGTGCCGTCAGGCGACCACTTGAGCCCGCAGACTTCTTGCTTGTGTGCTTGCAACTCTCTGACCAAAGGACGGTGCATTCGGACGTCATAAATGTGGATCGACCTGTCGCGACTTCCCGAGGCCACCAGCGATCCATTCCATGCAAGAGCACCAACTCGACCAGTGTGGCCATTCAATGTTTGGACTTTCTTGTTCTTCTCCACATCCCACAGCTGCACTGTGCCTGCGGTTGTCCCCACACCAAGATGCGTTCCCTGCACATTGTTACAGGGTCGAGTCAGAAGTCAGAAGAGGAGGACTGATCCAATCTCCAGCACGACTAAATGTACAATGCGGACGCCCCAAACCAATAAGCTTACTCTTTGCACAAAGGACAGGGAGGTGACGGCGAGCCCTTCACTCAGATCGCAAAGCTTGGTGACTTTGGCCGTGTTGGCGCCCCAGAGAAAGACGCTGCTGCCAAGCGCAACAGACACCATGTTCAAACTCGACCAGTCAAGCAAGTTCAAGTAGAAATCGTCCTGGAGGTCTGGTGCGTCGAGAATTCTTGCCGCGTGACGCGAAATTTTCCGCAGCACGGGCTTCGGGGAGGTTAGTATCCGCTCAGAGAGGGCAGAGATGGCGGATGTCGAAAATGGCGAGGTTTGCAAACTCTCGTCGCTTCGGGTGCCCAGTGGCACCGGCGCGGTTGGCGAGTAATAGTCCGACGAAAGTTTGCGCGGAAACGAAGGTGACTCCAGGGGACTGGAGGCAGCGTCACCAGACGAATTGGAGAGGTTGGACGGTTGACGCACAAAGCGGCGGGTTGTCTCGTCCATGGAAATGGAGCGTCGGGTTGGCGACACGAACGCTGCCGATGAAGCCGAGTTGCGACCATAAGAAGCGGACGACGATGAAGACGACGATGGCGATCCATGGTTTGAACCACCAGCGGAGGAAAACGAGTCACTCCGCGACGGGCTGCCAAAGTTGAGCAGCGTTGGCGGGACTTGCGGCATAATTTGGGTCATTGGCAGCGTTACGGGAGTGACTACGGCGGCCTTGTTGTTCGGAGGCATAGTGGTTGAGTCGTCACCGCTTTCCGGAGGATACACGATTCCTCCGAGCAGTTCTGTTTGCAACAGAAGGGACAGGGTGTTTTTCGGCTTGAGCTCTGCGAAACAAGTAGCAGCAGGAGGGTAAGTATTCCAATCGGAGCTCTGCAAGCATTGGGGAAAGAGAACCTTCCCCCACCTCAGCAAGGCAATAAATGTCAATCAAACACCAGGAATAGAAAAGTAGAGAACGAAGCATAGAGAAGCAGATGTTTTTGCTCCAAAAGAAGGTTTGAAACAAAAAAAAAAAAAAAAAAAAAAAAGTGAAACGGTTTCTTTTGACTCAAAAAACGCTTACCAGCAGGCGACGACCCGGTCAAAGCAAAGTCCCAGTCGCCATCGCGAAGCGGAATAAACCTGCGATGAGCACCGAACGCACATCCAGAATACAGACAGTCAGGACAGGGCAACGAATGGGAAAGTCAGTGGAAGGAGCGTCGGCAACTGACCTGTCGGCGTCCAAGCGTTGCTGCTGCTGCTGTTGTTGCTGCTGCTGCCGCTGCCCTTGAGCGGTGGATGCCGGCGAGGCAGGCGCAGCAAACGCAAAGTCATCGGATGATGCGGATGATGCAGTCGGAGTGACTGGCACGCGTGCTGCTGCGGGTCCGGCGGGTCGTCTCGGTGTCAGTCGCAGAGCGGGAATCCCGTCCAGCTCCATTCAGTCCAAACAGGCAAGTCAGGGGGGTCGAAGCAAAGAGAGTGAGCTCCATTCGAACATTGGCAACACAGCTCAGATTCGATCCTTGTCATTCAATGGATTCACATTGTATTGTACACGAACGCATCTTCACTGAATGGAGCAGGTCTGCTGGCCAGTCTCGATTCATTGCCAAATGCTTCAATCCGCTGCCCTCGTCCGCTCTGTCGCCTCGCGCGCCTCCGCCACCGCCGCCGTTGCTGCTGCCGTCCCCATGCGTGCCAAGCACACCCTTCCCGACATGCCCTACGACTACAGCGCCCTCGAGCCCGTCATCTCCGCCGAGATCATGAAGGTAGCAAAACGGAGCTTTTTCACCCTTCTGCTTCCTCTGCTCCCCCTCCGATCCTGCTCGATTCGCCTGCCAAGTCCAAACAAGGGCAACTTGCAAACAACGACCACGACAGTCTGGGCGAAGAACGCATGGCGCGAGTCCACTCAAACACGTTGAAAACGAGACCTTCTACAAGCAAAACCAACAAAAAAAAAAAAAAAAAAAAAAAAGGATGTTCGCCTTTTCCACTCATCATTGTTGCACGTCTTGTTGACATTGTGGCAGATCCATCACTCCAAGCATCACCAAGCGTACGTCAACAACCTCAACATTGCCGAGGAAAAGTACGCCGAAGCCACGGTACGTTACAGAACCAACTACGATTGAGACAGATTCAGATTCGCCGTTCCATTCTCAGACATGGGGGGTGCCGATTGTCTGATATTGTTGATATATCTCTTTTTTTTTGTTTGGCTTTCTTTTTTGGGAACGCAGGCCAAGAACGACTTGTCTGCTCAGATTGCCCTGCAGTCCGCCATCAAGTTCAACGGCGGTGGTCACATCAACCACTCCATCTTCTGGACCAACTTGGCCCCGGCTTCGCAATCGGGCTCGCCTTCTGGTGTGTACCATTGGGGGAACGCAAGCACACATTGCGCGATCGTCACATTGAGAAGATACAGTCGTCTGACGTGTCGTCTCGCTTGTTTGTGTTTGTTTTTGGTTTTTGTCGGTCAGCTGAGCTCAACAAGGCCATCAACGCCGAGTTTGGCTCGTTCGATGCTTTCGTCGAAAAGTTCAACACCCAGACGGCTGCTGTTCAGGGCTCTGGCTGGGGCTGGCTCGTAAGTGCAGTGTGGCGCTTTTTTGTTCCAGGTTGCAACAAGCATCCGTGAGCTCACCGCTACATTTTCTGGCTTGTTGTTCTCAGGGCTACGACAAGACCAAGGGCCGTGTCGTCATCACCGCTTGCGCCAACCAAGATCCCCTGCAGGCCCTGACTGGTATGGGTTGAATGCGTGTTGTTGCTGTTCAATGCATCGGGTCCCGCATTGATTTTTCCTTCGATTTCCTCTGTTCGTGCAACCAGGCCACACCCCTCTGCTTGGCATTGACGTCTGGGAGCATGCCTACTACCTTCAGTACAAGAACGCTCGCCCTGACTACCTCAAGGCCATCTGGAAGGTCGTGAACTGGAACAACGTCAACGAGCGCTTCGCTGCCGCCTCCCGCAAGTAACCGCGCTTTTGTTTGCGACTTGGTTTTCGCCGTCGACGCCTTTTGCCCGCAGAAGGAGCCATGGTTTTGTGATGTACCTTGTAACGAAAATACAGTCGCAACTCATTCTTTTGATAACGGTCTGATACCCGCACACACACCTCTGCAAAAATACAACAAAACAGCAGCCAAGAAGAACCTGTATTAAAGGTACAATGTGGGCACTGCGAAAGTAAATGCTCATTTGGTAGTGTTGATTGCTTCGAGTACATTTTTCATCAATGTGGTACTCATTGGCACCGACAGATACTCCAAGCCATCCGTTCCCTATGAAACGTATCACCATGCATGAAAAAAAAATAGTCAGTAACCGCTTCGAGCGCGATGAAAACACAACCAACTGCCAACTGTACCTTGCGCGACCGAATCATTTCGTGATCTCGGAATTCGGTCAACTGTGTTCTGAGGGTTAGATCGCTGTTTACCAAAAATCGTTCACGACACAGCTTGTAGAACGCATGGAATGGGAAACCTGGGAACACGACCGCAACGCAATCGAGTAAGACTTTCAAACCACACAAAGAAAAACACAACAAACCCAAAAAAACCAAACAAAACAAAACAAAAGCAAAACCCTCACCTTCCGCTTCCTCGCCTTCATCGAGTTGATAGGTCAAAAGAAGCTTGAAAATGCTGCGCGCGTTCGGCGTGAGACTCTTGAGCACGTGCATGACTCCGCGAACGTTCGTGTGACCCACGCCTGTGGAGCCGGTGGCTGAGAGCAGACCGGCAAGCGAGTGCTCGTAGGACGTCTCGTGTTGGTACGGATCATAAGTCGTGGCGTCGTGCCAGATCCAAGAAAAGCGTCCGACTTTTTCATTGTCCCAGACTGAGCGAGTTTTGGCCGAAACCCAACAACCCATCCCACGAAAAGAAGATTTGAGCACCAAAACTCCTAAACTCAGACGTTGCAACGCAAAGCATCAATAACCTTACTCAAAGGCGCATTGACATGATCAATGGATGCAATAAGATGGAATTGAGGCAACGAGGCCAGCGACGCAAGAATGGCTTGCGCCTTTTCGTTGCGGAGGCCCGGCCCCTCGATGTTGTTGATAAAGAGATACACGTGTCGCGGGATGGTCGTGTCGGCTGCATGATGAAAAACAAACGAAAGCATAGAGAGATCAGTTTAGACCACTCAGCAAATTTCCTGACGACGGCGCGGGAAAACCAAGGAAAGCCAAGGTGTTACATACATTCGGCAAGCGCGAACGTTCGACGGATGTAATCACACTGCTCAAACGGTGTGCGGAAGGTGTCGTAACAGTTGAGTACACCTTCGGTGAGCTGTGCTAAAATCTACAAGGTTGAGCCATTCCAGGGTGAGCACAAACAAACACAACAGTGGAGGCCAAGAATTTCGGGCAACGCACATGTCGAATGGTGAGACCAGGAAAGTATCCGTTGACAAAAAGCTGACAGGCATCGGGTAGGATGGCCGAAGCGAAATCGCGCATAATCCTTCGCTTGGATCCGAGGCCGTACAGCAATAGGTTAAAGTTGTTCCTGCAAGCCAAAAACAAACCCAACATTTAGACACACAAACCCAAAGAGCTCTAGCAGCAAAGCATTATCACCGTACTGAAGTTCAAACATCCAACGGGGGAACTGAAGAGCGAGCTGAGCTCGGAGCAGATTTCGCTCCTCGACCATCTGCTCGGGAAGTCGCTTGATGGCACTTGCGAGGGTCTGCGGACAATTCCAAAGCGGGGTGCAATGAGCTCCAACCATGCAACAAACAATCGCACCAAGAGTCTCCCCACCCCCAACAACAGCCAAACGCAACAAAAAAAACCCCACACTCTCACCTCTTCGTCGACTCCTTTCAGATGAGCCAGAGTATTGTTGGAGGTTAGATCCGACTTGTTGTGATCGTGGAAGTATCGCTGCAGGTCTTCCTCTTCTTCCTCGTCCTCGTTTTCATCGTCGAAGAGTGCTTCTTCATCTTCGCTTTCTGACGAGGACTCATCATGTCTGGTTGCGGCTGACGGTGCTTCGGTGGCTTGCTTTCCTGACGACGCAGCCTTCGAGCTCAATTGAGCAGTTGGCGGTTTGGGCGAGCCGCGAGCCTGCCCACGAGGAATTACCCGCTGAAGAACAGCGCCGGTGGGTGAATGCATCTGTGACAACTGCTTTTGTGCGACCTGTTTGGCAGCACGCGAAGCAATTTTGCGCGTGCCTTGCTGCATGCGAGAGTCCGGGAGCTCTTCCACTGGGGCTTGTTCCCGTTGGTGCTGCTCGCGACGCCTCGGGGTTTCTGCATTGTCGACCAGCGGATTGGCAAGCGCGGTTGCATTTCGACGGTTTGTCTCGCGCTGGAAGCGGTCTGCAGAGTCTTGTTCGCTGTCATCGTCCGAATCCATGGCCGAGAGTCGAGGCCTTTTTCGTGAGCTGTCCTCGCTGAGCAACGGCAATGGTGCTGCGAGCGCAGGTTTGTCTGTGGTGGACGATGACAGGCGAAACAGAGATTTTCGGACACTTTGGCGGCCAGTATTCTTTGTCTCGTTGGGAGTGGCTGATCCCGTGCCACCCGTCGCTGCATTGTCGCCATCACTGACCGCTGCCTTGGGAGTAGTAGTAGTAGTAGTAGTAGTAGTAGTAGTAGTAGTCGCAGTTGTAGATTGTTGTCGACTTTTTCGTTTCGAAGTGGACGAAGGAGTGGAAGTCGCGCGCCGACCGCGGAACACACCATCGTCCGCATCGTCGTCATCGGTGAGGTTGCTTGCATCATCTTCCTCATCGGATAGATCTCTGATCCTTCGTTTGAGCGTACTTGGGGGTGTCTGCGGCACTTGCCCGGATGCAACTTTGACGGGCGTGGTTGGCGCGATGGCCGCCCCACCGCCGCCCAGCCGCCGCGCAAGTGACCCTCCTGACGCAGCTGCACGTGAACTCATGCTGGCGGACGCAGTAAGCAGTGGGACGCCCTGGAGCGCCTGCTGCGCCTGGTCCTTCTCGTCCTCTGCAGCGAGGAAGCCCGACTTGAGCGCCTTTTGATGGTGGCTGCTGGGGCTGTCCTGCATCGACCCGCGCAGGTGGCTGGCAGTCGTTCTGCTCGCAGCTGCCTTGAGCTTTGCTTGGTGCTTGCGCTGCGCTGCGCTCATGAACAGCTTTGACGGCTGCGTTTCAAGCAGTGAAACAATGTGATGTTTCACGTCGGCGTCGACAATCCGAGTGATCTCGAGCGCGCCCATCAGCAGACTCCGCTGGCTCCGGATCATGCTCGGGACATCGTAGTCAGACACAAAGACGATCGGCAGATTCGCAGAGCTCGACAGCGTCTGCGCAGGCGGCTCCCATCCCAGCCAGCTTTCGTCCATTCTGTGTCTGACTGATGACGCTGCTGAGAGCAAAGTAGCAAAGGGACTGAGCAACATGCAGGATAGTACAAAAACAAAAAAAAGCAAGGATGTGCGTCGCTGGGCATTGTGTATTCATTCATGTGTGTTGGACAGCAACATTCAACATTGCACAAACAACATGTCAAGGCACAGCTTGGGCTCCTGGTCGCTGGTGTTGTTGCCTGAGACGGTGTTGCTCCATTTGACGTTGTCTTTTTTCCTCAGTGAGCGGACGAATTGGGCGCGCGGCCTGTGGTTGCTGTGTCCGATCTTGCTCTTGGTGTTCAAGTTGCTGTTGTTGCTGCTGTTGTTGCTGTTGTTGCAGTGGTTGTTGTTGTTGCAGTGGTTGTTGCTGTGGTTGATGTTGCTGTTGTGGTTGATGTGGCTGTTGCTGCTGCTGCTGATGCGAATCGCGCTCATTACCCGCCAATTGTCCAGCTGGTGCAGCGTGAGCATTCGGGCCTCGAGAATTCTGCATACGAGCAAAGGCCTCTCGTAGACCTGCAGCAAGCGCCTTGGCAACCTGCTCTTTCATTTCGGCAGACATCTCAACGACCTCGACGTCCTCCTCCTCCTCCTTCTCGACAGACATTCCAAAATTGGCAATCTCCACCCCTCGCTGCCCGTTGTGATTCGGACCTGCTTCAAACAGGCCGTTGGATTGCCGCTCGGGCTTGTCCGACTGCTGCTGTTGATTCGATGATTGCGATCCTGGTTCGTTTTGCGCGCCAAATTGCACAGAAATGTGACCCAAGTTGATGGTCACAACCTGATTTCCATCTGCGTCCACACTAGTCTCTAATTGGGCACCAGCTGGCAGCCGAAAGGCTCCCGCTTCTTGGTTGTTTTGGGTGACGGCTGCCAGTACTTGGTTCAGATCGACCCCGCCTTGGTCTGCCGCGCCACCCACGTCCGGGATTGCGTCTGCAAGCAAGAACTGCATTGCAACGGCAGTTTGGCGAGCAAATTCCAGCTCCTGAGGCTGCTTGAGAAAGGACACGACCGGGCCGGGAGGTGCATCGACATTGACTTCCCTGTCCAACAGTGGCGGAGGGAGCCGAGTATTTTGCGAAGCCCAGTGGAGAGCAACAGGGTCGTGTGGGACGGAGGGAATTGTTGCCGAGACTCTGGGAACTGCAGACTCGCGCGGCGAGGAAGTATCCGCAATGCGCGCACAAACGACAGACTGGTGGTGCTTGAGCACACCTCCCGGCGTGGCGCTCTGAGCTGTCGAAAAATGCGGATGCGAGCACACGCGCGGGGTGTTGATGACCATCGCATACACACAGGTGGCGACTTCACGGATTGATAGAACATGATCTGGCTTGTCTGGTGCGCAGTGGAAGCGGACTTCTGTTTTTCGACGAGCGCCAATCAGCTCGCAGAAGGTTCCGTCAAAGTACTGGTGGGTAAGCTCGTCATCTTGCTCAATCGAGCCCCTTGCCGAGTCTTTTTGGGCATCGGGGTGCGCTGCTGCATCTGAGTGATCGAATGACTGGTGGTGTCGGTCGTATCCGAGAATGTAGCTGGCATCCTCTTGTCCCGCGTTGTTTGTGTGGTACTGTCGGACATGGCGTCCATAGCAGAACTCGTAATGCCACCAGCCCACGCTCTAGAATTCATTCCGGGGGACATGAACAGCGAATCAAAGTAAATTTGGTCGATGTGAGATTGGGCGCGACAATCAACCAGGCCGAGAAAGCGAATAAACCAACTTCTTACATGCGAGATGCACTGCGCAGCCATCGGCGCCAATAGTTGCGTGATGGACGGACGCTCTTCAGCAGCCTTGTTGTCGTCCTCTGGTTGTGTCATGTAGCACACAAATTCTTGGTCGTCGTGAGACCTGTACCGCGTTCCCGTACCGCGTTCCCGCGCCCAACTGTGTGGTTGTTGTTGTTTGTTTTTCGCACCAAAATCAAACACGACCAGACCAGTAAATCAGTGAGTTGTGCTAAAGTTGAAAACCGCTCATCCCTTTTGCGCGCACTTCAAGCTCTGTGAGTTGGATGAGCTGGCAGTGGCTGTGTTTGGTCACCAAAATTGTTGGCCAACTGTCGACCAATTTCGACCCAAAGGGACTCTTCTCGTCCCAGATTTCGCTCATTGCACACACACACATACACACATACACATTGCGTTGGGCTTTACCTTGACATTGGACGCAACGGCAGCGAGCACAGACACAGACACTGGCGCGCTGCCAAAGTCGGTGCTGCCAAAGGGCCAATCGACCAACGACACGCTCTTCCTGTCGTCACTGTGCCTGAGCACGGTCGAGCGCGCCACATCGCCCGCATGGTAGAGCGTGCTGACATGCAAGAGTTCGTCCTCGAGTCGGAAGAAGGCCGGGCGCGGACTGTCTGCCTTGCCCGCTGCTCCAGCCGCCGTCGTCACTGCAACCAGCAACAACAACAGTAACAACCAGCTGCTGCAGCCGCTCAATGCAATGGCAGTCAAGTCAACTCGAGTGGTCTTCCGCATAGCTTTTGTCGGTTGCATTTCGTCCCTCAAAAAATGTCGATTTTCCTGTCAAAACAGTTGCTCAGAAATTCTGAAAAGACTGAGCTCGATTGTTGGATGAACGACGACTGATCCACCAGTCTTTGTTTCATACCAGTGGAGGCCCATTTGCCAGCGAGACAGCGACAGAGCTCGAGAGTTCAAGAGTTTGAGAGATAGATAGATACAGAGTGACAGAGAGACTGAGATTTTTCAATCGTCTCAGAATGACATACGAAGCCGCTCAGCTCGAGGTTTGTCAAATTTCTAACAATTCTGCCCGTCTGCTCAATCGGCAAAATGACTCCAAACAACACCCTGACGTGTGCCAGTGCCTTTGAATATGCTGTATAGGAAGAGGAAGCGCTCGCTGCCATCTATGCAGAGCACTTTCGCGTGGTCACTGATGACGCTGCGGCCAAGATTGTGCGGATTCGCGTGGAGGACGATTTGTGGCTGTCGGCAGTCATCCCGACGAGCTACCCGTCGCTCAGCTCACCACTCGCGGAAATCCACTGCGACAGAGACCACCACCGTCACAGTCACCAGTATGATCGTCGTCATCGCGATCAGCGAGGGTCGCAGGCGGCAGTCATCGACAGGGCAACGCTCGAGGGGTGGATGGACCGGCTCGACCAGCTGGCGAGCGACTCCAAGGGCCAAGTCGTGCTCTTCCAATGGGTGGAGTATCTCAAGGAAGCTTGGAGTGACTTGCATCAAGCGAATGCAGGAGCAGGAGCAGGACAATCCGCTACAGATGGTGCAGCCGCCACTGGTCTGCCAACCGACTTGTCCGAGGATGATGATGCCGACCATGCTGCTACAGACGCCGAGCTACAGGAGATTGCCATGCTAAGCATGAGCTTCAGTTCGGCCGAGTCGCGTCATGCGAGTGGCGGATTGGCACCGCGACCGGATTCGGCATGCCCGGTCATTCTGAGCGGCGATGCGTACACTGAGCGAAAGAGCGTATTCGTTGCGCACGTTGCTACTGTTCATTCTGAAGCGCAAGTATCGCTGGTTCGCAGCGAGCTACTGCAAAATCGCAAGATTGCCGCCGCCACGCACAACATCATGGCCTACAGAATACATCGCCCCGCCACAGGCGCGTTCGCCCAAGACTGTGATGATGATGGTAGGCTACAGTCGGCAGTATCTTTCGCTCTTGTTGTCATGCCGTCGCTCGGGGTCACTCACCACTCTGTTGAATGTTTCCCCCGCACCACATCTGTTCGATGCTTTGCTTGCTTGCGAAGGCGAAGACGCCGCGGGTGGCCGATTACTTCAACTCCTCCAGCTGGTCGATGCACGCAACGTGGTTGTGGTGGTGTCGCGCTGGTATGGCGGGCAACTGCTCGGGCCGTCCAGGTTTAAAATTATCAACAATGTTGCCCGAGCGCAGCTGTCCAAGTGCGGATATATCGCTACTGATTTGGAAGATGCTGATTCTGGCAAATCCAAAAAGCGATGACCCGACCCACAAGCCCCCCTTTTGAAAATGTCGCGCAACAACCATCCCATCTCTACAACAAGCCTCCAATCTCGATAAACTTGCCGGTATTACCATTGCATCTACAATACCATTTATTCATATCCAACAGAGAAAGAGAGAGAGAGAGAGAGAGAGAGAGAGATAGAGAGAGAGAGAGAGAGAGAGAGAGAGAGAGAGAGAGAGAGAGAGAGAGAGAGAGAGAGAGAGAGAGAGAGAGAGAGAGAGAGAGAGAGAGAGAGAGAGAGAGAGAGAGAGAGAGAGAGAGAGAGAGAGAGAGAGAGAGAGAGAGAGAGAGAGAGAGAGAGAGAGAGAGAGAGAGAGAGAGACGTACAGGATCAAAGCGACCCAATCGTTTGCACCGCTTATGCAGCCACCATCAACTCGGACAAAGCACCAAGTTCGGCGGGAGCTCGGCCGAGCAGCACCATGACTCGGAAATACATGGAGGTCATCCACTGCGAGAAGGACGCTTGCTGGAGTCGGAATTCAAACTTTAGCCGTCCCATCCACGAATGCAAGGAGATGCGGAGGCTGCGAGGGCTCGAGGCAGCCGTTTGCCTGACAGCGGGTTGCGGTGAGCTACTGGTGGTACCAGCATGGAAGAGTTGTTGTTGCAATGAGCTGCCCACCGCCGTTGGTCGGTAGAGATGCCGGTTTGCTGCAAAGGACGCTTCAAGATCGTAGTGGTCGGCCAGCGGGGAGACGTCGACGGCTATCCCGCGCAAGGCTGTGTGAGCAAGCAAGGCAAACCGATTGATGGGGGCACCAAGGTCCTTGTTGATCGATCGCACCAAATTGAGATTGCGCAGGACAAACAAGAGAGAGCGGGGCATTTCGCGAATCATGTTGGTGATCTGTTCTCCTTGTTCAACAGCCATTTTCTGCATGAGAAGAAAGTCGTCAGCAGTCATGAGCGTGTTGAAGCCGATCGGGGCTGCCTTGTAGGGGCGCTGCATCAGCATGGACGCAAACACGAATGGGTCTTGAGCCACGCCGAGGTCACGCGTGTCCTTGGTCAGGGCATCGTCGTCCTTCAAAACAATATCACGAATCAGGCGGCAAAATGCAAGTCGGTGGTGGTCTGGCACGGTCGCATACAGGCCATGGTCGAGCAAGATGACCTCCGGGTTGTTTGTCGCCTTGTCGCGCCGGACGAGAATGTTGCCAGGATGGGGATCGCCATGAACAACACCTGTAATGAAAATCTGCTCGGCAAACGCCTGGACAATCAGACGGGCCACTGTGCTCTTCGGAATCCCGAGCCGCTCCAAGCCGGCCAGATCGTTGCACTTGACTCCGTCAATAAATTCCATCGTCAGCACGCGCTTGGAAGTAAGTGGCCACAGGACTTCCGGCACTGTGATCTTGTACGACTTGGACGAGCCAATGCTCCGCATATGCGTGCGACAAATCTCCGCGTTGTGGGCTTCGCGCTCAAAGTCCAGCTCGCGTTCCAACGCGGCGCGAACGTCGCGGAACACCCAGCCATATGCGAATCCGGGATGAACAAAGCCGACCACGTTCATGAGAAATTCCATGGTGGCCATGTCACCGTTAAATCTGAGATTAACGAAAAACAACATTCGTCAACAACGCACCAAAACGTCAAGTTGGTTCGTTAGTTCCGTGTGAATGCCGCCGCACAAATCACAAATCGATGATGAGGCGCTCATTACCGGTCTCGTAGGTCAAAATACTGCACCTTGACTGCCACTTTTTGCCCGTCGTGTGTTTCGGCGCGGTGCACTTGGGCGAGACTGGCAGCTGCAAAGGAGGCGGTCTCAAACTTTGCAAAGACCTCGTTGGGTAGCTTGCCAAAGTCCTCGAGGAAGATGGTCTCAATCTCGCCATAATGGCGACCGGGCACGTTGTTTTGGAGCTTGGAGAGAATGCGAATGTACTCTTCCGGAAGCAGGTGGTTGAACGACGCAATGCCTTGGCCCATCTTGATGTACAAGCCACCGTTAGCGAGTGCCAGATTCAATGCACGTGTGGCAGCGCGCTCATGGCAAAGCTTCATTTCAGCATCAAACTTTGGTCCATCTGGGCCGTGCAGAATCATGACAACCTTGTAATCGAGCGAAATGACGACTCCGGCGTAGAGCGATCGCATAATGCGACCCAAGCCCTGAATGGCTCCGACAGTTTGACGGACTGCCTGCTGTTGGTGCTTTGGCTCGATGGAGCTGGCAATCGTGTATCCTGCAATGCAGGTTGCAGCCAGACCTAGCGCGAGCTTGGTTCCGGCGGAAGTTGGCTTGTGGGTTGACTGTTGACGGCTCTCGCCGCCGCCACCATCGCGCTGCTCCTTTGACGACGTACCACTTGCTGGAGCGTGGATTGCACGCACAGCGGCTGGCACGATGGTGTTCCGCGAGGCAGTCACGGAGCGGATTGCGGCGCTATTCACATGTGCGCTTGATCTCGCGCCTGCTTCGATCGCCGCCTGTGCCGACGCCCACAGCATCAACCAAAGAGGCAAACACAAGCAAGGATGAATGAGCAATCGCATGACGAGTGAGGGAACGCGACAGAAGAAGCGGGACGTTTGCAAAATGGAACAAAAAGCGGAGGGACCAAAAATCGTTCTCACCCGAGTAAACGCCGACGGGACACGTGCGATGCGGAACATGGCTGCGCGGAGAACTGAGACTGAAGTGCACCGATGAAGAAACACAAAACTAGGTGGTGTATGTCGTGCGTGTTTGCTGGTTGACGGTGGGCGAAAATTTAGTAACTTGAATCTTGTCAAAATGAGCAAAGTGAGCAAAACAAGGGGACTGGGTTGGGGATCTGGCATTTGGTCCAAATAAGAAGGTCGGGGAAAATATCAAGAGTTGGTTTTTGGGGGAAGTTTCGAACAAGGAGTATGGGAGGGGAGCGGGGGTCACAGCACGAAGAAGTGGGAAAAATAAAAAAGCTCACAACGTCTGAATAAATTCTGAAGCTGGTTCGCCGTCGTTGAAATTGGAGCGGCATTGCGAGTCTGGACCGTGTTACACCTTCCTCGTCTATTAGAGATGCGCAACTGCCGGTACCAGCATACAGAGCACACACAACATACAAAGGCATCACAAGACATTGGGGTCACGGCTTGGCTAATTGGATTATTGCGTGCCGCGCTCGCTTTCCGGGCAGTCGGGCTGGGCCGAAGGGTGAGCCGCCTTGAACGCGTCAAGTTTGATCAATTCGTTCTCGATCGCAAGCGCGATGGGGAACTGAGAGAGATCGACCTTGAATCTGATATTGGATGATGTGTGAGCGAAACGCAGGGCCAGCAAGCAAGGTCAACACGAAATCATTCGACACGAAACAATGTTGCCGCTCACCGACGGGCATTGTACAGTTGTGGCACCAAAGTGCAGTCAGCCATGGTCACAGTGTCACCAACGGAATATTTTCCGTGGGTCTTGGCCAGCAGAGCCTCCAAGCCTGGATTTTGGTGAGGTGGAGAAGGAAGGGGGGGGGGAAGATGGAGCATCGAAAACTCATGAATCAGTCCAAAGAACCACGCTTTGCCACCCGCAACAGTCACTGCGCCAATCCACGTTGACCATCACACAGGTGCATACCAGCTAGGCCATGGTTGATCCAATGGCGAGCCCACTCGACCTTCTTTTCATCGCCGACATGGTTGAGAACACGGAGGTTTTGGATGGGCTGAATGCCCTGTGCAATAGCGTCAGAGACTTGGCGAACCTGCTCCAGTGCCATTGTCAACATTCAACGTCAGAATTCACAACACGAGATTGCCATTCCATTACACAGCGCGTTGACGTTTTCTGCGAACAGACCAGAGCGCGTTGGTGAGCATCCTTGGGCAACAAAGAGGCCCCATCAGGGCGAGTCTCCTCGAGATACTCGATGATGGCGAGCGACTGTGCCAGCTGATGGCCGTCGATCTCAAGCACCGGGACTTCGCGCTGCGGATTGACTGAGCGGAACTCGTCCTTGAACTGCAGAAACAAACCCAAACGCAGAAAATCGCCAAAGGCGCCAAGCAAAATCGAGTCATCATCAGTGCCAAACAGTAGTCGAATCCACATGTTGACAACATTTCTGGATGAAAACCCCACCCCCAATCTCAGACGCTGGGGACACGGAGATTTTTTTCTCGATGCAAGTGGTCACGGATTTCACTTCAGCTCTTTCTTTGGATGGGTCTTCAGTTTTACCTGTTCGCCACCGTCCTTGATCAGACTGATGGCACGGTATTCATACGCAATGCCCTTGAGTGCGAGTGCGATGCGAACGCGCCACGAGCACGAGCTGCGAAAGTACGAGTAGAGAATGGGCTTTGCTGCTGCTGCCTGCTCAAGTCCAACGAGGCGCAGGAAACAACAATGGGAATATGAGTACAGCACAGACACAAGCCAAAACGCACATCGCACGTCCAAGTCGCATCGAAGGAGGGAGGGAGTGAGGGGGCAGGGGTGTGCGTTTTACACTGGACATCTTGTCAAAGTTCCAAAATTGAATCAGGAAAACGAGCAATGGAAAAGATTCGGTTTTGGAAGGGATTATCAGACTCTTACCTGCTGTGGTCGGTGGCCGTTTCGACATTGGACAACGGATTTTGTACTGGATTGTTGTTGTTGTTGTTTTTTGAAGCAGTCGTTGTTCTTGCTAGAAACAAACAACATCAAAATTCCGACGGAAACTCATGCTTCATCCTGGCGCTCCCGAGCTCACTCCCGAGCAAACTTTTGCAGCTGTAATGCGTCCGAACACAGCCTCTTGCTATCGTGTCTCACGGCTGACGGGTAGTAAAGTCATTCACAACGATGCGACAAAGAAATCGAGTTGCGTCTGCATTTTGTTCCTTTCTTGTCAGGACGGACTCGAATGGGGCTTCAGAAGAGCAAAGAGGCTTTTTGCCGCTTTTTGCCTTTTGTTTGCCTTGTGACAGTGAGCGAACGATCTAACAGGGCGAGTGTCGAACGATCTAACAGGGCGAAGAGTTCACACCGCAATATTTAACGCGAAAGGTGACGGAGGGTTGCCAACAAAGGTCCGCCCCGCCCTTCGGCGTCGTCGCGCTTCGTTGCATTGGGTTTTTAATTCTGCTTCTACTTTTGACTTCTGCTTCCTCCCATCGCCAAGTGAGGATGAGTCATGTTACGCAGTGTACGAACTGTCGATGACACAGCCAAAAATTCGCTTTGGAGTGCTACTTGTTTTTGATTGGCGTGTTGTTGAATCGATTCGTTACGTTCTTTCGGTTTCGCACCTCTTCTTCTCAGAGGGTGGATTGGATTCGATTGGATTGGACAGGACCGTATTGGGCTGCATCGGGTCCGGGTTGCGTGGCACATCTATCTATCGTTGCTCGACCAACGGAAATTTATCGTGTTTTGTCTTGTTGAATCCATTTTCAAGCCAATCAATTCATCCAACCCAAGAACTCAATCTGCATCTTTGTTTGATTGGCGTCTCGAAACAGTCCCTGCGCGGTCGTCTTGTGACCCGTGACTCGCCTGACTACGAGCAGATCTGCGCATCCTGGAATGCCGAGCTCAAGAAGCATCCCAAGTACATTGTCCAAGCGAGGACCAACACGGACGTGATTGCTGCCATCAAGTTTGCCCAGGCCAACAACCTCGAAGTGACTGCTCGTTGCGGTGGTCACAGCCTGCGTTGCCTCGTCGACGATGGCCTTGTCATTGACCTGCGCCAGGTGAGGAGACCACTCGGATGCAGATTCGTCTCGATCGATTTGATTTGATTCTTCGTCGTTCATCTCATCGACTGGATTGACCTTATTGATCTTGAGCTAGATGAGCATGGTTCGCGTCGAGGCAGACAAGAAGATTGTCCACGTTGGCGGTGGCGCTCAGCTTGGAGATGTCGGTACGATTTGTCCCGATTTTTGTCGCAATGCTTTGTCAATCGGAAACTTGCTCGTCTTCCACACTGGGACTCACTCCATCCTTGCTCAACAGACGCCGAGCTCTCTCTTCACAACTTGGTCGTCCCTGCTGGCATTGTTTCGGACACTGGCGTCGGCGGCCTGGCTCTGGTCGGCGGCGTCGGCTGGATGGCGCGCTCCTACGGCCTGACCTGCGACAACATTATCGGTCTTGATGTTGTGACTGCGGAGGGCAAGCTGATCCGTGTCACTGCGGACAACGAGTACAAGGACCTGTTCTGGGGCATGAAGGGTGCCGGCACCGCGTTTGGCATTGTCACCAGCTTCACCTTCAAGGCGCACGAGTTTGGTGCTGGAGCCGCGACTGTCTTTGGAGGCGCGCTCATCTTCCCGTTCCCCCGAGCACAGGAGATTCTGACCAAGTTCAACGAGTTTACCAAGACCATGCCGGACGCTCTGGCTCTCTATGCGGTTTGCGTGAATGCTCCTCCCGGCCCTGTTGTCATTCTCGAGTTTTGCTACAATGGCAAGGAGGAGGATGGCCGTCCGCTGGTCCAGCCCCTGATTGATCTGGGCCCGATCATGCAGGCTGGTGTTGGCACCGTCCCGTGGACGACCTGGCAGCGCGCCAAGGACACGCTCGCCCCCCATGGTGGCAACTATTACGAGGCCGGCCTCAACTTGAACGAGTTGTCGGAAGGATTTATCAAGAAATTGATGGAAGCTTTTCCCAGATCGCCTTCTCCGCAGAGCTTTTTCCTTCTTGAGAGCAACGGCGGGGCTATGTCACGTGTACCCAACGATTCTGCGGCCATTGCTTGGCGCCACGCCGCCTTCACGATCGTATTTTTCGCTGCTTGGCCCGCTGATACCGAGGCGGAAGCCAACAAGGCATGGCTGCGCGAAACACGCACCTCGCTCATGCCATTCCACACAGGCACCCTGTACGCCAACTTTTCCAGCGAAGGCACCGCAGTCGAGTCGTACGGCCAGCAGATGCTTGCTCGTCTCGTTGAGCTCAAGCAAAAGTACGATCCCACCAATTTTTTCCATGTTGCTACGTTTGGGAATCTGCTTGGTGCCTAGGAATGAGTATCTATCATGCATTGTGCCTGTCGACTAAATGCAAGCCAATTTTTCTTTTGCATTTTGATAAATATTCTTCTGTAGTTTGACTTTGGGTAAGGCTCGAGGCGTGACACTTCTGCCATGACAGCACAATTGAACGACTGATGCAACTCCTCCCCCAAACGGGCAACACAGCGGACAAAGAACCAAACAAGTGGAGCATGAAGAAGTACAGTGCAAGAAGAACAAGAATTAAAAAAACCAAGTCGTCACACAGTGTTCCAAGAGGCACAGCCAAAGCGAAAAAGCATGCATCACAGGTCAGGATCGTCCATTTCGTAATCTGGTCCATCCGGCGGTACAGAAACGTGCCACTTGGCAAGAAACTCACCAACCATCCTTGAAACAATCCCTCCGAACAACCAACCTCGCCAACTACCCTGGCAAATCAAAACACTGCGTTTATTGACTCAATCAACAAACACAAAAGTACGAGGCGAAATCAATCACACTCGAACCACAAATTCAAAAATACAACAACAACAACAAATCAAGAAGGAAGAAAAAAAAAGGAATCAAGAAACAAGACGCTTCAAATCGTCATGCTTGTTCTTTGCACAAAAAGACAAAAGATGACAGAGGAAACGACACCAGCAGAGGAAAAAGTTTACACGGCAAAGGAGGGCAGCCACAAGCCAAACTTGTTGTGAACGCCCTGGAAGGTAGCCCAAACTCGTTGGCTATGTTGGGTCTGGAAGTCGAGAGGAGTCGATCTACAAAGAGCCACGCAACCCAGTCAGTCAGCATACACTTCTCTCAACCACCGAAACCAACAGAAACGCCAACTACATACACTGCCTCGTCTTGGATGGCCGTTTGGCGCAATTCGGGATGAAGCACCTTGATCAACATTTCGTACGAGAACAGAGTGACACCGAACTGTGGAGATGAACGGAAGACTCGGGCTTTACGAATCGAGCAAAGCAACAGCGTTAGCACAAACCAGCAAAACCAGCGCGTGACCCAGCGCACAAAACCACAACATGTCGTACCCGCAGCGCCCTTCCAGAAGGCCTTTCCACCCTCAGTAGCCATGATTTTACGGGCACAATCGACAATGCCAGTGTAAGTCAACTCTCCTCGTCGAGCGGCGACTTGCAGACGAGTCTGATAAAGTCGGACAAAGCAATCATCAAGAAAATTCAGTGACATGTCACAAAATCAACACGAGAAAAATACAAACTCATCGGGGTGGAGCTCAGCTCAAAACTTACCTTGATCACGTCAGCAGGAGTCACCAAACTGGCAGCAGGAATACCCGCAAGTGCGCCAGCAAGCAGCAAGGTGTGGGGGTCGTTGGACCCGTCGGGCTTTGCGAGCCAAGCCTTTGCGTGTGCATACGCCGGGAAGTAGATCATGGAGAATGGGACATCACGCAAGAGACAAGCAGTGGCACCCTTGTACAGACCCATAAAGCCAAGCTGACGAACGATGGAGCCGGCAGTTGGGCGCTGAGCAGCAGCGGCATCAAGCGGAACTCCCTTCAGCTGCTCGCCGGCAGTTTGCAGTCGAATTTTGACAATTTCGAGCGGGTTGGTGAAGTCGAATTTTGACAATTTCGAGCGGGTTGGTGAAAACGACTTGACTTGCGCCAGCCTACCCGAAAAAACAAAACAAAACAAACAAACAAACAAACAAACAAACAAACAAACAAACAAACAAACAAACAAACAAACAAACGCATGCCAAAAAAGTCAGTGTCTGACCAACAATATCGACAGCGCCGACCTCCCACCTCCCACCTCCATCCTTTTACACTTACCACACCACCACTCAGGATTTCGTAAGGCAATGACAGGTTGCCATTCTCGTCCTTGAAGGTTTTTCGGCAAAGATCGTTCATGGCGAGCTTGATGGCCTTTTCCGGAGCAACACCGACAAGTTGCGGCACAAGACCTGGTCAATCCATAGTCGTGTGTGTCAGTGGGAGGCTTGGAACGCGATCGCAACTGGGATACACATGCCATCCATCTTGTGATCCGTTACCGCGATACAACCCGCTGACTCCTTCGTTCTTGAGCACCTTGGTAAAGCAATCCCAGCTGTTTCGATAGAGCATCTCTCCGACAATCACGCCTCGTTGGTTTTGCATGCGTCTAGTATCCAAGCCAAGACAAAAAAAATGAGTCACGAGCGGCGTTGTTCGTTCGTTTTTTGTTTAAATCATCAGTCATGCTTACGTCTTGACAAGGTCGATTGGGAATACGACGGTGGCTCCAATAGCTACACAACAGCACCGACAAACATAAAAGTGTCAGCTCAGGTATCATGCAAAGAGGCGCAAGTGAATCAAAGAACGCTGCACCAACCTCCTGCAATGCTGCCGAGCGCAAAGCTCTCAATGTAGTCAAACAAGGCACCCTTAGACGCAGGGGCAGAAACAGAGTTCGATTGAGAGCTGGGAGTAGTTGCTTTGCTCACTGCAAGCGACCTGGTACGAATAGCGGCGTCAATAGACGGGGCGCGAGCGACAGGAAGAAGGCTGAGCAGTGGGATGGAACAAAGCCGCAGGGAAGAGGGTGTGCAAATTTCAAAAGAAAAAAAACCATGAATGAGTCGCAAAACTGATGGAGGATGATGCCCAACAACGACAGATGATCGCGATGCTCACCGTTGGAAATCCTCTGGAGTGATACGACCATCTCCTTGCGACTCGCACAAGTGGAAAAGAATGTCCACTTCCAAAGGCGTGATTTGATCAAAGCGAGTAATGGCATGTGCTGCGTGCATGAAATCCTCTGTGGTTACGTGGCAACCAAGGTCGAACAGTCAACCGAGAGCACAACTTTTTGCTGGCCTCTCTCAACCACTTTGCGAAACCCGACAACAACCAAATTGACAGTTATCTCCCAATACCTTTGGTCAGTACATTTGACTTTGTCAGCGAGATGGAGTGCAGCATGACGCGGTAGACAGAGTCGAGATTGTGGATGAGGCTGTTGAAGGCCGAAAAGTGAGCAAAGCTGATAGAGTTGCTCTTGTTAACGTCGCCGAGGGTCACAAGACGGTCGATCAGAGCTGGTGACATGCGGTGGCCATAGACGGCGGTTTCAATGGCGGCGAATTGGAGGCCCGAAATGTAGCCGGTGCCCTTGCTGGCGGCAACAAAGGCCTGACGCAGTCGCTCCTCATGGAAGCCCTTGAGCAGCTGCGTAAACTCCTTGTAGGAGATCTGTCGCTTCCCATCGAGGAAGTACAGTTGCACCCACGGCGACGCAAAGTCAAACCCTGAGCTGCCGTTTGGCTGCTGCTGCAGGGCGACGTTCACTGCGCGCTTAAAGTTGTCGAACGTGATGGTACCCTTGCCCTGCGTGTCAAACATGCGGAATGCAAGCTCGTACTCGGCGTCACTGCGGTGCATCATGTCGTCGAACGCAAGAAAGTCGGCAAAGGTCAGGTGGCCGGCACCGCGGCGATCGGCAATGCGGAAGACCGCCTCGAGCATCGGACGCGCAGTCTGCCTGTGTTGCAAAGCAGCCTGCTCGTTGGAGCCATCCGCAGCACTCGCCGGCGCGGCCAACTCGGCAGCCGAGGCAGCGGCGGTGGACGTCCAGGTCGGGTCGAGCGTAATGCAGGCGAAGAAGCCCTCCTTGGCCATGAGCTTTTCGGTCTTGTCCGTGATGGTTGCATTCTAAAAAAAAAACGCCAGGAACATAAAACATCAGACATGGGTTTGGGGTTTGATAACAACCGAACGGGCTGAATGAGAAGCGCCGGCTTTTTGAAGAAGCGTTTTTGGTCCCATTCTCAATGAGACATGCAGATGGATGGACGGAGAAACATCCGAGAATCAACACGGATGATTGAATGAGATCGAGGTGAGCTCATCGTCGGTGGTTGGTGGTTGTGGAACTGGGGGGGGGGTGGTTGTGGTTAACGCAGAGATTGGATGGCCACACGAAAACGAAAACGGAAGGAACGAGCACATGGAACAACAGCAACTGTGACATTGGTTGGCTCAGTGAGCTCTACTCTTGCGTGGGTGAGGGAAAGAGGATCCCGGGCACCAAAGTCACAGAAACCAACAACAAGATAGCAGTGGACAAACGATCGAGAGTGAGGCGTTGGGGGATGGGCCGGCAAGAGACAAAACGGAAGTGCGATTGACGCCAAGACAGTGGAGCAGCACAAGATCCCCTCCGTCTCATCCGATCAACAACTTCAATCCACCGAGAGAACAGCGATGGACGTATGTACAGACAGAAGCCACCCCACCCCCCCCGCGACCACGCCATCGCGCAGACAGCGAGACGAGAGCGAGTCCTGACTGCTGCTGCTGCTGTCTGCCGTCGGGAGTGTTCGCTGCTCGACGTGCTTCACCCATTCCAGTCCAGAGCGACAAGATGATCATTGCAAGGGCTTTGCTTGAAATTCTATACCTGCAAGAAAACTTCCTCAAGCATCTCGCGGCGGGTGGTGGGGCGCGTTGAAGATGCACCAGCGGTGGTGGCTGCAGTGGACATTCAGAGGAAGCAAAGTGCGGTTTCAAAACAAAAATAAACTGAGAGAATTCGAGAGAAGAAGGGAGTGGGACTGTCACTCTGGTCCTAGAATGCACGAAATGACAAGACGCAAAGCATGAGCATGAGCATGGGAGGCGGGGGGGGGGGGCGCTTGCGGCCAGAACTACTCGAGCGAAAAGGCACGGGCGTACCTCGTTCTCGTTCAAGTCGAGTTGTTTGCGAGTTCGCTTTCTCGCTTGAATTCTCAGCGCCTGAATCAAAACCCATACCCCCTCAATACACTGTTTGACAAGTAGCACCACTGTGCCTGAGACCGTCATCGAGCGTGACAGGACGCGCGGGAACGAGGGCTACAAGAGCCGATTGCAGGCAGGAACACAAAACAGACGAGGACCATATTGACAAACGTTGGGGTTGCCACTGCAAATGCCTCGATGGCAATGAAGGTGCCACATGCTCACCTACAACGCATGCGTCAAAGAAACGCAGCCATTCTCGTTTTGGCACTTCTCAGTCGTTTGCCGAAATGTTTTCACGAACCTCGATGGCTGGCGCCGCAATCTTCGCTGTGCCGCATCGCGTTGCTTCCCTCGCCTTGTCATCAAAGAGCTACAGACTTGGATGCAACTCTGCTGCGCTTGCGATACCGCTGCGATATGTCTCGGCAGAGAGCAGGCCGAAAATCAGTCTTTCAGCAGCCTGTAGTTTCGCGCGTTTATTAATGCAAAGCGTTTCGTATGGCACCGAGCGCACGCTCCACCCACTCTCCAACGAGACATCTGCCGAATCATCTGCGGTAGCGCGAGCCGCGCGCCCGTTTGCGCAGCAATGTCGAAATGCCTCGAGTCTTGGCGTTGTGCCGCCTTCCCTGGACTCGGCCACTCAAGTAGAAACGCAGTCAGAGTTTCGGTATGTGTAGTGATGTTGTTTGCAACATTGTGACTCGTCCGGAGTGCTCACCTCGTCTGTATTGCATCACCGACTCCCCAGTCTGCATCGGCTCCGCCTCCAGAACTTCAAAAAGTTCGAGGACATAACTTTCACCCTGACGCCCAGCCCCAAGATTATCGTTGGCGCGAACGGCTCGGGCAAGACGCAAATCCTCTGGGCGATTCTCATCTTCTTGCGCGGCCACAACGCTCGTGTCCCCAGCTCCAAGCACTTCAGCAAGGATGTTTTCCGATTCGAAGATGAGCTGGAAGACCTCTTTGGTGATCGGTTCTTTAGAAATAAGTATCAGTCGCCAGATACGCTCGTTCGCGTCGGCGCGCCAAACAAGAGATTCACCCTGACTGGCACGTTCCACGATACCACGTACCATCACACCAACGAGAACGTGATGCTGGAGTATTCGCTGGACAAAGGGCTGCTTCAAGACAAACCCGACAACCACCAGTCGCTCGCCCCAATCCGCTTCGCCTTCATGCCACCGATGTATCAGTGGGGAGACAAAAAGCAAGAGCTTGGCAGAGGCGAGATGTTTCTGTCTGCCGGTGTCCAGCATATGCGATGGCGACTTGAGAAGGCTGTGCCGTTTGTCAACGACGCGGTTGGCCACCTGGGATTCCAAGTCAAAGTTGAACTCGAACGCTCGGGTTCTGAGTTCAAGCGTTCCTCTGTCACCGAGAATGGAGTCACCCTTGACATTGGTGCCTGCGCCGGCTCGCTGCAAAAGATTATTGCCATTCTGACGCTTCTCTACCATCTGACGGAAGCCGCAACCATCAAGGCTGCCCAAGACGACGCGCGCGGAAAGAACATTCAGCCCGACTCGAACACCTTCGCGCAGCGCATCTTCCTCATCGACGAGCTCGAAGCTCTGCTCTACGAGAATGTGACGGCCAAGCTGTATGACTTTCTCGTCAGCACGTGCGCCAAGCACAACATTCAGCTCATTGTCGCGACCAACTCGCGCGCCATCATCGAGCCGCGGCTGAACACCAAGCGTGAGGTTTTGTTCCTCACTCCGGATGGCAAGGCCGTCGAGCTGACAGGCGAACTGCCCAATGACGAGCAGAACCAGCAGTCCCTCTTCCCAGTCCTCAACGCACTCAGCCAGGTCAAGAACAACAACAAGCCTCTGCTCGTGCTCGAGGGCGTGAACGACCAAAAGTTCTACGGCAAGTACACCGAGCTCGGCGAGAAGTTCCAGTTCATGACCACAGCTGGTGCTGTCAAGAAGGAGGGCGTCTCCCACATCCTGAGGCAAGCCAATCTCAAACACGTGTTTCTGAGCGACAGCGACATGTACGCCGCCTCGTCCGACCTGGCTGACGCTCAGAAGCGGATGACTAAACATGTTGGCTCCTCTGTCGTCTACACGCAACTGCCGTGCGTCGAGTCGTACCTGATCTTGAGTGAAATGCTCAATCATGCCGAGGCGGCATATGAAGGGCGCTACAAGGCCATCAAAGTGCTTGTCGGGCACAAGCTGTACTTTGTAAACTCATTCAAGAGCATGCTCAAGGAGGTGGGTCCGAAGCCTTCGACAATGCCGATCAAAACAGAGCAGAAGCAGCGAACAAAGGAAGGGATCAGTGGCATGGCCTTGGAAGGGCTCAACGCGCTTTCCAGCGACGAGTTTGGCCAGTTTACCAAGCAAGAAAAGGACGAGCTGTTCCGGAAGGCAGGCCAGACTTCGAGTGTTGCCAGTGCCTCCACTTCTGCAACAGACCGACTTTTCCCGAAGCTTCCTTTGAACGCCAGCTCGAACGATCCGGAGGAAGTTTGGACTGCAATGCATGACAAGCAGAGCGACGACGCTTCGTCAAGCTCATTCGATCCTGTTGGCTTTTGGACCACGTACGTCAAGATGGTGCATGGCAAGGAGGCAATGGTGCGTGGACCTGACGAAACGCCGATGAGCACCGACGAGATGATTGACAGGACGAAGTGTCTCCACCCCAAAGTCCAAGCCCTGCTCGACCAAACTGTGGAGACTGTTCTGCGTGGCCTTCCAGAGGCTGTTTCTAAGTGACTGTTTGGAACCGCCTCATTGCTTCCACTGTCATTGTCACCCCTTCCTGTTTTCCAACAAATTGTAACATGTCAACTTTCAAAATTTCTATTGCGTATCGCTTATTTCACCACCTGCAACTGACTCTGCATGTACGTGGTTCGAGAGTTGCCACTTGTCGCATATCTCGGTGAAGCAAAGCGAGTATTCCACAATGGTTGGAGAAACAAAAAACCTGCAAAAAAAAAAAAAAAAAAAAAAACGCAAAAACTGTATTTTGTACAACGCCATTGAATTGATTGTGACCCGAGTATCGGACCAGTGCAACTCAAAGGGGAAATCGATAGATCCGGATCTATGAACAGCAACACGTCCATTTTAGCTAATCGTGCACGCGCTGCGTTCAAACCAGAACCAAAGTGAAAGTGAGAACATGTAAGCACACACAAGCCCACAAACAGCACACAAACGCAACCGCCTCCCCTGTACACACTAAATGCAAAGGTCAGGGGCGAGGCAGAGATCAAAGGAGTTGGGGAGGGGAAACCACCCCCGATGGTGACGTCAAATTCGACATCTACATGCACAGACACATTGGAACACGTCCGACACACATTCCCCGAGACCGAGACTACGAAATAGGACTGCCAACACCGCAATCCCTAACAACAAAACCGACACACTCAGCGAACGGGGTATGCAGCAACGGGAAAAGGAGAGAGAAGGAACGGCTGCAAAGTCATCAAACCAACCGACCGTCTTTCTCACTCGTTCTTCCAGCTTCGTCATCACTCACAGTGTGGCACCGAGCAGCTTGGCAGAGGTCGTCGAGCGTGCCTTTCTTATGAGCGGCAGTGCCTGTTCTTTGGTCATCTGGCGGTTCGGGTCAATCTGGGGAAGCAGCTGGAAGCACGCATCGCACATCCACACGCAGTAGTCCGGGTGCCCAGTCATCCCTGCCGGAAGCTCTTGCTCTTTGGTGTGGTTGAAGCTGAATGCGTGCGTTGCCTTGCCCTCATGGTTGCAGACAGGGCAAGTGCTCGGTGGGGGCATCATGGTTGCAGTGTGTTGAAAGAGACTGAGAACAAACAAATTTGTTGCTTTTTGGTAGAGACGAGACTGAGCGGGTCTGAGACGAGGCATTCTGAGACGGTGTTTCGCAATACAAGTACAGTAATCAAATGCAAGTGCAGGAATTTGATTGACGGTCCAGACACACACTCGGGGGGTGGATGGGGTCGTTCGAATTCGAGGGTCTGATTCAAGGATGTCGGAGTAACTCTGCACGATTCAGCTTCATTCACCCTTCTCCTACTGTACTCCAGCGCTCATTATTTCATACTGACTTGAGTATCAGTGATACGTCAGTCCTTCATACTTTGACACTCTTCTTTGACAGTGCGCACCACCAAAGGTCGGGTCATCATCGTTCTCAGCCCGCCAACATTAGCATGTCGTCCTCGTCGGTCGATGCACGGCTGGACTTTCGGCCTGCATCCGCCTCACCCCTGGTCTCAATACACGACCGCAGCACTCTGGCGGATGCGAGTGGTGGCAGCGATCCGCGGCTGAGCGGCGCGTACGTGACTCCGCTCCAGCAGATGGCTGCGTCGTGCGCCGGCGCGCTGCTCACCTCACTCGTCTCAACCCCGCTCGACGTCGTCCGCATTCGCCTGCAGAGTCAAGCAATCAGCCACATCTCCAGCACTGCTTCTGCTGCTGCTGCTGCTGCTGCTGCTGCGACGACTGGTGCTGCGTCATCATCATCAGCAGCAGCCTCCATGTCCGCTGCCGACCCGTTCGCCCGTGCCTGGGCTGCCCATGCGACGTCGACTGCTCCGTCAAGTGCAGCCGCGCTCCTGCCGCACCGTCGCCAGATTGTCTGCATTGTGAGCCAATCCAGACCATCCCCAGGCGCTGCACTGTCGGCCAGTCTGACTGCTGTGGCCACGAGGGCGCCTCCCGCTGCCGCTACTGCTGCTGTCTCGGCGGTCGAATCAGCCTCAATGGCTGCCGCGGACGGCACAGTCCGATACGTTGTTATTCTATGCAATGGTCTGATGGATCACGTCTGCAACGTCTGCTTCCCTGCGCACAAGCCAGAGGCCGCTGTAAGACCCGTTTGGTGTGGAAAATCTCCGTTGCTGTGCGAAATTCGGCGCTTACCCAAAGTGTGCTGGCCTTGCTTGTTTCGTCTTGTCCATCATTGTAGCGGCTAAACGGAACGTTCGACGCACTCACAAAAATCGCACGGCAGGAGGGATTCTCGAGCTTGTGGCGTGGATTGTCTCCAACACTGCTGATGGCTGTTCCTGCCACAATGGTTTATTTCACAGCCTACGAGCAAATCCGTGACTGGATGAAACATTCGTCGATCGTGGGAGGCTCTGGCTGGGAGCCTCTGCTTGCCGGCGGCGTGGCGCGTGTTGCGTCTGCCACCTTCATCTCACCTTTAGAGCTGTTCCGTACCAAGATTCAATCAACCACTAGCAATTACAATTATCGACGTATGGTCTTTTCGTTAGGCGAGCGAGTGATGTCTCTTTTGGCTCGTGGTGTGCTTACTTGTGCGGGTGTTCATTTGGATTGATATCAGAGCTAATCCAATCAGTACGGCAGTCCGTCAAAACAACCGGTATCTCTTCGTTATGGCTAGGATTAGGACCTACTCTACTCCGTGATGTTCCATTTTCTGGTATGCGTCCTCGAGCAATGTGCTTCTGAGCGATCGATGCAACTTTTTTTTTTTTTTTTTTTTTTTGCTTCATGTGTTCCTCACCATCGAACGTTCGATTGCAGCTCTGTATTGGTGGGGTTATGAAACTACCCGAAGCCTATTTGTGGATGGGCTTACCAATCGTGGATACGCTATGGACGGGACAACATCCTTTGGTGTCTCGTTCGCCGCCGGAGCCGCTTCTGGCATGGTGCGTTTGTTTTTGCTCTGATGAAACACACCGGCTCGCTTCCATTCTTCTCAAACAACATACCTTTGACAGGTTTCGGCGGCTGTCACAACCCCATTCGATGTTATTAAAACGAGGAGTCAAATACAACTAGGGCAGCTTGTATCAAGTAGGTTTTCGGATTTTCGCGCATTTCGGAAAGAATTGTAGCGCGTACAACTTTGCATGGTCACGCCACTGACACGACCGGTGATTGTCACAGGTGGACCAGTTCAAATGTCAACAGCTCGCGAGATTGCGCGCGACTTGTACCGAACTGGAGGCGTATCATCGCTGTTTGTCGGTTTGACAGCACGTTGCGCCAAGGTCGCCCCGGCATGCGCTATCATGATTAGCTCTTATGAACTCGGAAAGAGCTTTTTCGGCAATCGAAACAAGCAACGCGCTCTACAAGAACAATATCAACTGCTGCCTCCAAGTCTTCTCGCAGCTGTAGGCGACGTGCCACACAATGACATGCACTCAAAATAATCCACATGTAATCAGCAGCACACGAATTTTTTTTAAAAAAATACAGATATATTCCTGAGCGAGCAAAAGTACAGCCAAATCACTTTTACAGTGTGCACAAGTTGTGCTACTGAGAAATGAAGGGGAAAAGTTACAGACGACAAAAAGAGCAAACCGAACAAACAACCAGCAAAAGCAACAGAACAAGCGAAATCGGAACTAAAGTGTCAACGTAGAATCAACAAGATGACGAGGTGACTACTTGACTCGGGCAATGTTGACTGAAGAAGGTCCGGGTGGCGATTGCTGCTGTGCCCAGCGAGGGCTCACGAGTAACAGCTTGGCTTCAATCTTCTTGCCATATGGCGTGTGGCGAATGAGATTGAAATGGGGGCGAATGCCTTCGACCATCTGAATGCATTCCAAAACCCCCCAAACCCCCCCACATCAAATGGAAGGTCAGAATCATCATCAAAATATCGTGCACAGCAACGACGAAGAAGAACCAACTACGTACGATATTCAGTTGTTGCGCATCCCCAATTCCAAGGGCAGTTTGGATGACATAGTTTCCGAAGGGATCTTGAAGCAGTCGTGGCAACCACCTTTCATCAAGCAACTCCAGCATCATGGTGGTCCGCGTCGCAGGCTCTGAAGCACGCAGGCACTAATAAAATCAAACCAATGGCAAACGCAAGACACACCAATGAAGAAATACAAAGATGAGATGCCGACGCCACCAAACACACGCAAAAACCATCGCCACTAGACGCGCCTAGTCTCGTACCTTTTCAATGACGTTCGAACTGAACTTTTGAATCGCCAACGGGCAAATGTTGCCCAAAAATTGGTTGACCAGAGCATCCGAAAACCGTGGAATGTTCAGATCCAGGACGTACTGCACAACATAGTTTCCGAATGGGTCTTGTACCAAGTTAAGTACGTGGAAGGTGACTTCGTTCACCAATTGATGCTACGTATGAACGAACGGCCAAGTCAAAAAAAGTGAGTCAAACCCCACCTGGCGCAGTTGCAAAGGGCACTCGATCGATACCTTCTGGGCTTCCGTAGCGTTATCAATGCATCGTTGCATGACACAGCACCCATGGCGATGAGTGGCCACTTGAACACAGTTGCTTGCAACAGCATCGTAAATGAACTAAAGCACGAAACAAACAAATAAACAAAACAAACAAACAAACAAACAAACAGACAAAAACAAAAAAAACCACGAGTGGTCAATACAAAGCACGCTCACACACCTCCAAAGCTTGTCTCAACAACAATAACAACAACAGTAACAACAACAACAACAACAACAACAACAACAACAACAACAACAACAACAACAACAACAACAACAACAACAACAACAACAACAACAACAACAACAACAACAACAACAACAACAACAACAACAACAACAACCACCACAAATAAACAAACAAACAAACAAACAAACAAACAAACCCACCCCCCACGCACGTACCTGATTGTCGGCGGCAGAGAAACGTTGGAGACACCGTTGTATGACGTGGTTGCCGTTCAAATCTTTAATCAAAGTCACGACGGCATCTCGGAAGGCTGAGATGACGAGCTCGATTTGCCCCCGTTCCTTGAGGCATTCAGTCAGTTTCTGGACGGCTCGCGTGCCATGCATGTTCAACGAGATTGAAACCAACTCGGGAGCAACGCGCTGAACAATCGCCGTGCGCTGAGCTTCTGTGCAGTGCTCTAGCAGCTTTTGGCACAGATAGTTGCCGAAAGGATCGGTCATGAGCTCGCCAACATGCTCGAAAACCTCGTCGAAAATGATCTGGATGACAGACTCATTTTGCTCTTCGATTTTGCGCTGGAGGAATCGACAGCCAATCTGGTCTTTGCACAGGGAATAGATTTTGCCAGCTGCCTGTTCAATGGTCGTGTACCGGAATCCCTCGCTGGGCGCGCGTTTGTGGCTCTTGGCTGGCGCACCCTGTGGCGCACCCTTCCCAATATACATGCCAGAGAGGAACGACGACAGACCATCGACTGGCAGCATATGGTTGGGCATCATGAGCTCCGAGAGCTGTTGCATGTTGACCAACATGGGACCCATGGGACCCATGACCAGGACAGACGGCATTGCCGATGGTTCAGGCACGGCCATCATGCTGCCGGGCGCGTAGGAGCCTGATTCAGGCGCGCGTCGGGTGGCAGGGAAGAATGGCTGCGGGTATTGCTGAGGGAGGGGAGTGGAATCGAGGGATTGTGGTTGTTGAGGGTGATGCTGCGCGTCAAAGCGCTGCGGATGCTGCGATTGCTTCTGGTGGTGATGAGGCGGCGGTTGATGGAGCTGCCTGTTCATCGGAAGCTGTTGCAGTTGGTGTTGCAAGTCCTGTGCATCATGGAAATCCTGCAATTCTTGTGGCTGTTCCAGCTCGAGTCGCTCGTGCTGTTCCGACCATTCCTGCTTCTGACGTTGCTGTTGATGCAGTTGTTGCTGTTGATGTTGTGGCTGCTGCTGTTGTTGATGTTGATGTTGATGTGGTTGTTGTTGTTGTTGTTGCTGCTGCTGCTGCTCTTGGAGATGTTGTTGGCGTTGCTGTTGTTGGAGCAACGCCATCAGTTGATGCTGTTGCTGTAATTGTAATTGTTGTTGCAATTGCTGCTGTTGTTGTGGCTGTTGTTGTTGCTGGAATTGCTGGTGCTGGTGCTGCTGCTGCTGGAGTTGAATGGGCAGACCGAAAGGCGGCATGATGAGCAGATCGGCTGGAGCAGGTGTTGGAGCACCGCTCGGTGGCTGTGTCATCGCAGTGCGTGGGCCCACATGCACTGGAGCGGGCGCGGGCGAGCTGTGACCCGACACTGAGGTGTGCGGAAAATGACACTGATCGCCGTGTCGGCAAAAGCCGGCTTGGAAAAACCGACAGATGGTGCCGTCCTGGAAATTGCCGGCAACCTTCAGCCGCAAGGACTGCGCATGCGGCCGTTGAAGCTGCTGCTGTTGCTGCTGAGAGAATTGAGGGTGCTGCTGATGAAGGGGCACGTGTTGCGGATGCAATTGCGGCTGGAATGGAAGGTGTGGTTGCATGTGAGGCTCCACCGCAGTTCCAAACGGTCCAGCGTGGATTGGTTGCGGAGAATGTGCGACTTGGCCATGCCCTGGTCGCCGCGCTTGACCCAGAGATGGAGGAGGTTCGTCAAACTGACCAGGCAAGTAGGACACAAAGTGGGGTCTCAAGTTGCCGTCGGCGAATGGCGACGAAGGAGTGGCTCCAGCAAAGTACTCGAGATCTGGATCCAACTGCAGCGGTGACGAGGCCGCTTGGAAGGCATCCGAGCTCGGGACAGATCCCACGCCGGTACCAGACCGGAAGGAGTTCCAGGATCGGCCCGACTGGGAGCCAGTGCTGCTGGACAGATCGCTTGTCGATCCGTCACTCTCCACAGGGCTGTGCGAATCAAACTCGTCCGGCTGCGCAGAGAACAGCTCCGTCAGGGTATTTCGATCGGCCTCCGGGATGGAGCTGCCCGAGAACGAACGGAGCGTTGGACTGGGAAGGGGTTGCCATCCTCGAGCTTGCTCCAGGTTGTTCTGAACCCCGATGCGGGGAGTGGACGTCTGGGAAGCACGAGGCGAAGACGAAGAAGTCCCTGGCGCAATCTTCAGAGCAGACAGACCAAACACAGGCTTGACACCTTGCCGAGAGCGAGCCGGCGCGCTGATGGCGGCTGATGCAGGCGGAGAGCTGAGATTGAGGAAGAAATCACGGCCCTCATCGCCAGATGCATCACTAGAAGAAGAGCGGTCACCGAGAGATGCTGACGAAGGTGCTGCACTGCCAACAAGGCCAGGTGAGAGCTCGCCTTCAGTGAGGAGGCTACCAAATTGGAGTCGGTGGCTCGAGCCAGAGCCCGTGCTCGTGAGACTGGAATTGCTGCTGTTGGTTGCGCTATTGTAGATGCTGCTCGATGTGCCACTGGAAACGGACGAGGAAGGAGCAAAGTGCAGGTTTGGCTCCTGGTGGTGCACCCACGACGCCGCGGGCAGCAGCGGGGAAGTGGCGGACTCTGTCCCATGAAGCAAGAATGGCAAGCCCAATTCCGAAGAAGAAATCACATAGCGCGATGAGGACGAGCCGGGCTCGAGTCGGAATGGATTTCCGGTAGCAGCGTTGTTGGCGTGAAATCCCGCCGATGCGTCCTCTGAGCCTGTGAGCAACTTGACTCCATCGCCCAAGTGTGCCATTTTTTAACAATAAATCACGAGTGACTGGAGCAGTCCCCAACGGCAGAGACGAAAACGCAAAGTCTCGATCTGTGGAGCAGATGGAGAGGTTGTGGCGAGGCCGCTGTGTCTCCTCCACGCTGGTGTGAACCGAGAAAAAGTCTGATGTGCGCACAACAGACAACGAGAATCAAGGGAGAGTGAGTGGACGAGCTCAAGCAGCATAGCAACGACATCGTCAGGTCAATGCACTGCACGCGCGAGATTGAGCCAGTGTGATGCAGGCGCCCCACTGCGCAAAAACCTTCCCCGCCCCCCCTCCAACGATATCACTACTCCATTGAATAATGCACACAATCTTCACCGATAAGTTTGAGGGGGGGGGGTAGGAAAGGAACAGCGAGGGAAAACGAGCAATCCCCCCCCCAAAAAAAAAACAACGGGTCTGTTCCTTTCGCGCTCAGGGCAGGATTCGATGGTGCTGCGTACGGCATGCTGAGGTTGGGCACAAACAGAGCCCCAGTCACTCTCTGTCAAGCCAGGCGATTGAAAACAGTGCTCCAACCAAAAAACCAATCCCAAATAATAGCAGAAATCAACAATAAAACAAAATAAAATAAAATAAAATAAAATCAAAGAACGTTCAAAAAAATAAAATAAAAAAAAATAAAAAAAAATCAAAAACCAATTCAGCGTCGATCACACAAAGCACAAGAAGGCGGCGTATGACGTACGAACGGTGCCCGCACCCGACACTCGCATACCACAACCACATCACACGCACATGCCCAGGGCTGATCGCCGAGCCGTCGGAGCAGCGACACGGAGCTGCACCAACTCGGAATCAGAATCAGGAGTTTTTTTTTTTTTTTTTTTTTAAAAAAATTTGGGCTATGCAAAACCGCCACCAAACCACGCGTGGAGCAGAGGGGAGTGACTGAAGCACGAGGATGGGACGGGTGGCAGCCTGAATGCCAACAGAGCAAAGCGTGCAAGAGCGGGCGGTGGTTTGGAGGGGCGGCCGAGCGAGGGCCCCGCGGTGCGCGATCGACGACAAGCAAAAGAGCAAAGGGAGCAGAAAAAAAATGATAAAAAAAAAAAATAAAAAAACTCGTGCGAACCCTGCCATTGTTTTTTATGGAGGTTGTTCGTCTGCTTGTCACTGCATCATGATGTCGAGGTGGAGATGGGAAGATGGCAGCACGACTGACGCACGTGCACATGAGAGGAGAGCGAGCGCAGAGGAGACCACCCAGCAAAAGCGCTCAATGCAAAAAAAGCCACACAAAAACAAACAAACAAAACAAAAAAAACCCCAAAAAAAATCATAAATCATAAAAAATCCACAATCCCAAACAATCCCAAACAATCCGGAGCAGTACAAAACAGATCAGAGTGATCAGGGCAGCGCGACTTCCAAATGCAGAGATGCAAAACAAAATTACAAAATAACCAGACAACGGAAGACACCTCCCGCTCACATTGTTGACACCACAAAAGTTAAGAAAGTTGCTGCGATTTCACTCAATTCACTTGTTTGACTCATGCAAAAAATACTGGGAAAAAGGGAAAAAAAAAAAAAAAAAGACACGTTCAAACACCTTGCCGCTGATGGTTTGACGGATTGTGCATTGCAGTTCCAATAAAGAGCAGCAATCGTCCTCCTCGGATGATGGTGTATTCACAGAGCAGTAGTAGATAGAGAAGATGAAATCGCTGGCGCGATTTAACGTCCGCGCTTCGCGCGGGTGAGAGTGACCGAGGGTAACCTCGATTTTAGATCCCAATCAATATAGACTATATTATATTATTATTTTTTTTAGGTGAAGAAGTGAGAGAGTGATAAAGAATAATTGCTTTCGTATGGAAGAAAAAAAAGGCCTTAGCGAAAAAAAGAAGATTTTTGGAGGACCACTCACTTTTTCACCTCTTTTTTATTGAGGTATTGTATGGTTCAGTCCAGTCTCGTTCCTTCCACCAGAGAAGGAAGGGATGGCGATGGTCCTTTTATTTCTCCTTCTAAGGGGGGAGGGAGGGGCGATGGTCCTTTTATTTTTCCTTCTAAGGGGGGAGGGGGGCGGGGCGATGGTCCTTTTATTTCTCCTTCTAAGGGGGAGGGAGGGCGATGGTCCTTTTATTTTTCCTTCTA